TAACTACGAGAGAACATGGGGAAAGTAAACGTGTATGCATTAAGAATTATGTTGCCATTGTAGAAAGCTACAGTTTAGATGGTAATTAAAAATATTAAATTGCGTAGGTACCAGTTAAAAGTCATAGGTATTGTAGATTTCCGTAAACATTTCCGATTGACGAAAATGAGCTTTGAGGAAGTGCTAATTAAAATTGGTGATAAGTTGTCAATGGCTAGTTCCGTACACCACACTGGGAGACCTGGAAATGATGCGAAAACACAGTTATTAGTAGGTCTATGGATTCTCGCAAATCAAGAGTCGTACAGGTAAAATGAATTGTATAATTACTCTGAAAATGGTTAACATTTCCAGTCTTACAGAACCGTCGCCGATAGATTTGATCTGACCATTTCAACAGCATGGTGTTACTTTAGAAAAGTTGTAGATACTTTAGTTTCAATTGCGTCAGATGTAATTCAGTGGCCTAAAAATGAATCACAGAGACAGTGCTTCTCCACTGCATTTCGTAAAAGACAAGGATTTCCAAATGTTATAGGTACGATTGATGGAACGCACATACCAATAGTGGCCCCACACAATATGGCAAACTCTTACATCAACAGAAACAAATATTATTCAATTGTCTTACAAGGAGTTTGTAATGCTAGATATAAATTTATCGATTGTTATGCCGGTAAAGTTATTAATTAAAAAGGATACTATCATTTATGAACTCATTAGGTCCCCCTGGAAGTGTCCATGATGCCAGGGTATTAAAAATGTCTCCCTTAGGAAAAAAATTGAACCACAATATTCATGATCTCGTGCCCTCAGATTATCACTTGTTAGGTGATTCAGCGTATTCAAATGCAAGTCACCTACTTACGCCTTACAAAGACAATGGACATTTGAGTCGAAAACAGAAAAATTATAATTACAAGCACTCTGCTACAAGAGTAGCTATTGAGCAAGCATATGGGCTGTTAAAAGGTAGATTCCGCATTTTGAGATACGTAAATATATATGACACCAAAGTAATTCCCAGCGTTATTATAAGTTGTTGTGTTTTACATAATATTTGTGTTGATGCAAATGATTTAGATGTAGAGCCGTATCAAGAAGATGCAGATGCTAATGTTGCTGTAGGTATTAATGATAGAAACTTAGACACTATAAAGGACGCATTAAACGTGATGATATCGCAGAAATTATAAATTAACAAAATTTTGTAAGATTAGTATTTATTTTACAATGTACATGTTGCTTTAATTATGTATTTAAATGCTTTTCGATTACATTAATCAAGCGTTCTTGCATTTTCATTTTCTCTTGGTGGCGTTTATCCATATCTTCGCGAAATTTTTTAAACCAAACTGGCTCATTTTCCTTGTTCTTACGTTTATTATTTGGTCGAAGCTGTGTACTGCATGATGGGGTGCTCCTCCCACTATCATTGATGGGACTATTTGGACATTCTGGTTCCTATAACAAAAGTACATGAAAGATTCAAAATATTGATGGAAATGCTAAACTCGAGGAACAAATTTAAATGAAAAGTATAAAACATTAAAACCTACCACATTCAGGCTGCTGCATTCTGCTGGTGGATTTATCTCAGGATTTTGATGCAGTAAATTATCCATAATGTCAAAATATTTAAATTGTAATCTATTTCTACCTGTGGCAGCATTGTGGTCAATCACCTTTTTGTACTGTTTTTTTAAATTTTTGAATTTATTTTCGCACTGCTCCCATGTGACCATGTAACCATTTGCATTCATCAGTTCGGCAATTTGTTGCAAAACTTTCCTGTTTGTTGTAGACTTGTCTTCAAATCTTGTTTTATGTTCCTCATACAGTGATATCAATAGCTTTATTTCATTATCTTGCCAATGATGATTTTGAGGCTCGGATGCACTTGCTTGGCTACGTTGAGTCACTATTGGTGTTTCCTGCTCCTGAGATACGCCATAATCATGATCCTCATAATAATCTTCATTGTTGAGGGTTATATCCTCTTGCTGCCAATTTTCAACCTCTGTACTTTCACGGGATTCCAAATCCGGGGCATGAGTTGTTCGAATATGTTCATTAACAATATTTTCATATGATATAAAGTCGCAGATTTCACATCGTGCGAGCACCCTATTCATTTTTGATTGTAGCAAATAATAAAACTAAAAGTCTTCTATTGACGATTTTGTCAAACAAAAAGGTAAACACTTCAATCAAAACATAACCTACAATACAGACGTACCCTACTCACTGACCAGAGTTATTACTAAACAACCGAGTTGCCAACCTGATCTAGTTTTCGAACGCAGACAAAATAACCGGTGTGAATAATCGAACGCTTGGGTTACAACTCGCTAAGAACCTACCTAACCCGGTTGAATTTCCGAAAACGCCTCATGTGTCGTCTCCGTTTATACTATCTCGATGCACAACACATTTTTGACAGTAATGTTAAAAGTTTGGTTATTTACTATTGTGGCTAAGTTGACGTCGCCGGAACACGAAACTTTCACTTTCGACCGATTAGCAACAACTATCTCCCGAACATTAGTTTCTAGACAAGGGCTTACAATCCAATCCTGATGAGCAGTTAAATGAACGCTTGCTCCGGAATCTATGTACCAGTCCGATTTACTAAAGTCTCCGCTTAAGAACACCGCACTGAACTGAACGCGTTCGTATGTTCATTTTTAACAGAGCTTACATTTGGACACCGACTTTTGAAATGCCCCACTTGTTTACACTTGTAGAACTTTACACTTTTGAAGCTAGAACTGTTATACCTGCTGAAACATTTTTCTTGGGTTTATTAGGCCAATTTTTTGCCGTAAAAGCCCCTCCAACCTTTTCGGCACCGACTTCCATATCAAGTAGTTTACTTTTTATTGAATCCGAGGTGATTGTTATTCCCGAATGCTCAATTGCCATGATCATTGGCGAAAATCTTTCGGGTAAACCTGCTAACAAAATCGAGTCAATCCATTCTTCATCAATATTAAAACCCGTGCCGCGTAGTTTCTGTGCAGTTTCAACGATTTGGTTGACATAAGCCGCCATGGAATCACAATTTTCCAAACGTGTCGATATCAACGTGCGCAATAGGGTAATTTTACGTGCAAACCCCGAATCATCAAATAATGATTTCAACTTCGCCCAAAGTTCTTTCGTGTTTTTTGTTTCACGAATATGAACATACAGCGAGGGATCTATGGTCAAAATTAACTTCGCTTTAGCGTCATCCGCTTCAACCACTTCCGTTACACATTTGGATAACCCTTCCAGAACTAGGAAATTTTCTACCGCAAATGCCCAATCAAAATAGTTATCACGACCTTTTAACTTAGGCACATTAACAATGTAATTCGCAGCCATTTCTGTGTTACTTAACGTTTTACTCACTAGTTTTAAATTCTGGGCCCATAACCTCTTAAAACAAACGTGCTTATCAAGTTTACCACACGGACTGACTGTTGTCCATCATGGCGCTGTTTATTTATACATAATACAGGGTTGCCAGATACGCATATTTTGGGCTCATATTAACAAAAGCAACTCAAATTTCTTGTAAATCCCATCTGGTCCAAAGTCGTATCTTTCTTCTAGATAATGAATTGCTCTTTGCAGAAAAATGTGAGCTTGCTCTGTAAACTGATTTTTTTATCTTCGCAGAGGTTTCTAAAAATAACCTTGACTTTACTTCCAAAAAAATTATCAGCTAACCGGCTTTTTAGTTGGTCAAAACGATTTCGCATTGCACGATCGAGGTCTAAAATAGAGTAGGTATCACTTTCCAATATCAGGATTACTTTGGTGAATTCAGGATCGAAGGATGTTTCATCGGCATCTTCATAAAAATCCAATAGTTTTTTGCATATACCTTTTTTACTATCAAAATATTGAACAGCATACGGAAACGTTTTTATATTACCAACGTTAGAAGCGTCAGAACCTACTGAAAACTAATGAGATTGTTTCAAATCAGCTATCAACTTTTCCTGTGAATATGGTCCTAAAACATTGCGTGTGATTGACGAAGCCTTAGTGCGTCCACATGTCATTTTTGCAGATATTTGACTATCTGGAATAAATTTGCTAATGTTTCTGGCCAAGCAGTCCAAACTATTATAACTAAACCATGTTTCACATTATGATAAATAAAAGCTACTTCCGCCGTCATAACCAAAGCTTCTTCCTCTGTGTCCTTTTTTATAACAAAATTCTCCATGCAGGTTGATATCTTTTTTGCTGACAACATCTTTTTATGTTTAGTACTACTAGCGTGAACCTATAGCAATAATTTATAAGAAATTTGTAACGAAAAAAGTTCAAAACTTACTGTCAACGCACGGCGACCTTCATATTGAATTGCAATATCCGAATTACATGTTTTACAAATTGCAGTATAATCATTTTTTTTCTGAATCCAGTCTTTAAAATCAGGATCGTTCGACCACTAGTCATTAAAACCGGTGAATCGTTTTTTGCTTGTTGATGGATACGGAAATGGTTCCATTACACTTTAGAACACTAAAACGACTGAACTTCAAGAAATTAAACACTCAACGGTTTTTACTCGAGGCAAGAAGGTAATGGTAAGTGCACCGTGTAGCGTATTGCGTATTGTATCTGTATGTTGGGGTGGGTGCGGGTGGGAGTCGGAATGAGAGCGCGGATGCGCTGCGCACACAGTCAAGTGTTGCCCTTATGGCCTTGCCGATCGGACAACACTAATCACATTTATATCATTATGTAATATGACGCGATGGGGGCGATCCGGGACACCAATGTACAATTACTGGACACCGATGTACAATTACTGGACACGGGACAAGAGACTAAATTCCGGGACTTTTCCGGATTTCCCGGCCATCTGGCAACCCTAGTAAACGGCTGTTTTTTCTAACTCTATACCTTACGAAAAGCTTCCTCGTGTCACCAAACTTTATTTCTTTTAAATAATCTCAATCATATTGACTTTTTTTTCTCAATATATTGAGATTTTTCTCAATATATCGAGATTTTTCTCAATATATTAGCATTTTTCTCAATATATCGAGATTTTTCTCAATATATCGAGATTTTTCTCAATATATCGAGATTTTTCTCAATATATTGACTTTTTTCTGTGTCCTTTTGTTTAATCCAGCTGCGGTGATATGATGAATGTTATTTCCGTGTAGATGTGGTTAGCGTTAGAGTGAAGTGAATTCATTGCGTTTGACGCATTTATTAATCTGTTTTACTGCACTCAATAATTAAGTGATCGTGAGCTAGTAGCTGTACTGTCGAGCCATCCATTTCTTGTATATCAGGTAGGTATAAATTTATGTAGAGGTACACAATATGTGCAGCATTATGATCAAATAAGTATGTACTATACAGAATGACTGAGGACAAAGCTATATAAATCTAATGTACCTACTTATTTTTGCGTTTTTCTATAGGTAGGTAGGGTGTTTCCTAATACATTGACTGATTTTTTTAGAAGGTACAATGGATGATGCTGAGGTTCATGCCGTTTATTATTTTTTGCTGGGATTATCGTACACAGAAATATTGGCGATGTTGAGCTTTTGCCATGGTTTTCACTTAAGTTTGTCGACACTAAAACGAAAACTAAATTGCCTAGGACTATATAGAAAGAAGCACTTCTCAGAGCTACATTTAGTTGTAAATTTTATTGAACAACAACTACAAAGTTCAGGACAGCTGCATGGATACCGGTGGATGCACTTAAAATGTATTCAACACGGACTCACTGTAACTAGGGAAGCTGTACGAATGATAATAAATGAGCTGGATCCAATTGGAGTCACGTTTAGAACAAGAAAAAGACTGCGCCGCAGGAAATATTCAACGCGTGGACCTAACTTCGTATGGCACGTTGATTCTTATGATAAATTGAAGCCATATGGAATAGCTATAAATGGAGCTATTGACGGATTCTCTCGGCATATTATGTGGTTGAAAGCTGGCAGAACTGCAAGTGACCCGAAGGTAATAGGAGGGTACTTTTTGGAAGCCATAGAAAAATATGGAGGATGCCCAAGACGGCTACGTTCAGACCTTGGCACGGAAAATAGGTACATGGAGCAATTTCAAATATTTTTTAGAACATTGCCCGCAGATAATACGGATGTGTGTTATGGAGACCGAAGTTTTTTGTATGGGACCAGTCAGGCGAACCAACGCATAGAGTCGTGGTGGTCGATATTAAGGAAACAAAACGCTCAGTTTTGGATGAACATTTTTCAATCACTAAAAGAAGACGGTTACTTCAGTGGAACGTATTTGGACAAATCATTAATACGATTTTGTTTCATGGCTATAATACAAGTAAGTAAAGGGTGATACATTAGAACTAATTCTAATGAATTACCCGTTATAAAGTGTCAAAAGAAAAAAAAGATTCATCTAAATTCGTGAAATGAGTTATGAGGTATGATCAAGCATTCTGGGAAGGCCGTGGAAATTTTAGATGACATCTAATATGAACCAATATTAGGTAATTAATTTAACACCTCGCGCTAAATGTTAACATTAAAAATTAACTAATCTCTCTCTCTCTCTCTCTCTCTCCCCCCCCCCCCCCCCCCCGGCCAACTCTAGTTACCGAGTTATAGATCATACCTTATAACAACAAGAGAGAACACAGTAGAAAATGAATACCTACTTTCCTTATTATTGAATTAGATACCTACCTACTCATATGTTTCTTTTTAGAAAGAACTTGCACAAGTTGAATTGGAATGGAATACACATCGTATAGCAGCGTCACGAAATTCCATATCCCCCAAAGGTCGGCCTATTGTGTTGTTTGAATTGCCACAAGCGTATTATACACAGACCTACATATGCCAAGTGACCCACCATGATTTGAATATCTGTAAGCAAGAATCCTCATTTCTGTACTTACCCTGTGACGTCCATGTATACCAACTGTGTAAATTAATAATGCGAGAGAAAAATTTGCGTGAACCATCAGATTCGTATGAAGCAGTGAATTTATACCTTACATTAAGGGAAGAGATTATGTCCCAGATTTTATAGTTTGTAAGAAAACATATTTTTTTGTCAAAATGCCACATTCTGTGTGGAATAGATTCAAGATTGTATTAATTTCATCATTCTCTGGGCTTATGTGTAAAAGAATGATAATCGTTTTTGAAATCTGCTTTATAAATATATAATTCTTAATGAATTTAGTATGTTTGTCTACTTCGTCCCTAGATTTAATCAACCAACAACTCTTCTACGGATACTTTGTAACACATGATAATCTTGGAAAACATTAGTACAGATGTCATAGTACCCTGCACAAGTTTTAACGTGGTACATGTCCCCAGAAAAGTTCCATAGGTAGTTATGTATGTAAGAAAATCAAAGTTCTTTTTTGAAAGTTGTTATACAATGTCCTTTAAGGTTCAGAGTACGATAGAAAGTCCAACATATTGTTACGATCGAATATCGAGCGCTACACTTGTACGGCAGATAACGATTTACTCTGTATGGAGCCACTTAATAACAAGTGTTGGACATACGACCCTGGAGAACACCTTACAATAACAATTATTAACAACATAAATAAATTGATGAATTAATTAATGTGCTTGCTTAAATTAAATGCATTTGGGCATTGAAAAACTTCCTCTATGATTTGGTCAAGGAGAAATTTAACAAATTCTAATGGATAACTAATTGCATTACGTTAACAAACATAAAACAACAATAATAACCATAATTGTTTATTTTTATTTTAAGGCACAACATTTAGGCATCTGTCACAAATAAGAGAAACTTAAAACTCAAAACAGAAAACGAAAAACTAGGTAGGTTACATAATTTTGTAAACATAATAAATAAATATGACACAAAAATAGAAACGGAAATGTATGATACATTGCTACATGGAATACCTATAATTTGTGATTGAAGTAGTACTCGTCAAACATATTTTGTAGGTAGGTATGTATTACAACAATACAAAATAAAAATTGCAACAAAAAATAAAATAATACATATTATACCTACCTATTGCTAAGACATATGTAGGTATAAATATGAACAGTCATATACCTATATATTTTTATTAAACAATATCCATTACCCATACATTTGATTGCAGGATATTTGTCATCTCACTTCTAAAAACTACAAAATTTTCGTAACTTGAGGGCAATTCTAACAACCCAGAACATGTATGCCCTATTGGAACCCGCCCAAAGCCAGTTGTGTTAATAATTGATACATAAATGTCTCTTGTAGGTAAATCAGACCCGGTACAAAATCTGAAAAAGGCCGAACGTGTACTATCATCAACTTCTTTTATAAATTTTTTCAAATATCCATATATTTCTGTTATTTGTGGCGTAGTTTCGTTTGCATTTTGTAAATGAATTTTTGCCAAACAGTTTTTTGAGGATGGTTTTATGTTGTTAAATAGAGCCATAATTTCAGAGGTGCTAATCCTACTGTGCGTTTGGAATACTTGTCCGAAGCATTTAATAACAAAAGCGGGCTTTTGAATGAGCTCTTTGTGGGCAATGTCCCTTAAGAATAAATTAATATTGGTTTTTGTGGGAATCCATTTTGCATCATAATTGGAGAAAATGTCTAAGAGTTCATCACTGTCCACATTATCGAAGTCCAACAATGCTTGCCGGAGAATTTCCCTTTCAGATTCGCAAACAAAATGCAAGAAATTTTGTATTAGATCTTCATCTTGTATCGCACATCCCAAACAACTCAGAATAAAAACAGGAGCTATTTTTATTGGAATATAACTTTCTGTAGTAAAACCTTTTAAGAATATACTTGCAATCGCTTTCCACTGAGTTTCATTAAAATCGTGTCGCAAATACGGAATTTTCAGATTGGTTCCTACAGAACACTTCTCATAAAAACTGGACCAAAATTCTGAAAGTGTATCTCGGAAAACTCCTCCAACATCCTCTGCGTATTCTGTTTCTCCGTTTGGAAGAATCATTTCAATTTTTAGAGCACAAGAATAATGAAACGTGTGCTTCTGAAAAGCTTCTATCAGTTCCTCAAATATTTTGCCTCTGTGTAGTGTTAACGTTTGAATATTATCTGTTTGCTGAAATTGGTTTTCTGCATTTAGATCTTCAAGGTTTGGACGGTTTCTATCAAGAACATTTGTAGTATAATTCTGTACACTGGTAGAAGTACTCTGAATAGCAGGCAATTGTGCTGACATTGTAGTTGTTTCTAAGAATCGTTCATTTGGATGTATGTCAAAATGTGGATTATTAAATAATTCCTGCAAACCTGGCTCCGAAGCAGACTCCAAATCAAATATAACCACATCATTTGTGGTAATGGCATCCTAAAGAAATTACAATTTACATTATAACTATTCTACAACACTGAAGTAATAGATTTTGCAATAATAAAAGTTCGCTCTAAAAATAATGTGAATTGCAGCACTCACTTTATTAGTTTCGACTCGTGGTACAAACTTTCGCACTCGTGCTAAATGTACACATACATAAGTCTGTCCTTATTGCAAAATATATTATTTCGATTTTGCAACTATAAAAATAATCAAATATGACCATTTTAGTGTTAGCACATTAGTAAACGAGCCCTACATATATTTAGTGTGTCATCTATTTGATTGTTATATAGTTATTTACCTCTTGTAGTATGTCAAGATCTTCATCTAGAAAATTTGAATAAAATCGGGCAGTTTCAGCTGCCACCACTACTTCTGAGGCCTCTGCAGTTGACTGTTCGATGACGTCTTTTTCTGCGGCTAAAATATAACAAGTTAAAAATTCATTATGCAAACATAAATGACGAGAGCGTATTTTCCTCTTAAAAATATTAATTATAAATTTTAAATTTCATTTAAATGCTTCCGTAAATAAGAAAGTTGGCGCTGCGCATGTGCAAAACGAAATTTTTAAATTGGTGTTAGTGGCATTGCGCATGCGCGAAACGAAGAATTGAAATTGGTGTTAGATTTTCTTTTATTCAAAGTGCCTATGTATCAAATTTCATTTAAATACGTCCGTAAATAAGAAAGTTGGCATTGCGCATGCGCCAAACGAAATTTTGAAATGGCTCACTGGTTAGTGCATTGGGCTACAAAGCCGGAGGTCGGGTGTTGGAACCTGGGCTGAGGTAAGAATTTTTCATCTGTGGCAGAGATGAAAATTTCCTTAGATCAGTTTCGAGCATTCTGCCGGCTACTCCGAATTAGGTTTTCATGCAGTTTTCTTAATTCGTAAGGAGTAGTAGAAAACAACTCAAGACCTTCTGCAGGGTCACCTCTAATAGCATTAATGCGGGTCACTCTGTAATTGGGCGCAAGCCTGTTGAGGACGCAAAACTAAACAAAGTTTGGGAAGGACTTGAATATGTGCCGTGAGACAAATTGTGTTCACATTAAACATTTGCAGGTAAATATGATTGCATTGCTTTTTCAGTTGACCTATAAATAATAATATTGAGTTCATTAACATTTAAAAACACTCAGGTTAACCAAATAGATAATATTGCTTGAAACATGGCTTCTGTCAAACATAAAATTACCTACAGTTGTCAAATAAAGATATAGCGTAATTAGTCGGTACGTATATTGGGCACCCTTTGTCCAGAATTTGTGGCTACGTCTCGCCTCAGCTGCAAATTCTGGACTCAACACAAAAAGATTTCGTTATTATGACTAAACATTTCAGTCCCGTTTGACAAACGACTGATAGTCGGTCCTGATGATCAGTCCTGATGGGATAGAGTCATTGTTTTAAGTTACTTTTTCTACAATCGATATCCAAAGTAGGCATTTGCGCTCGTATTTGACAACGCAAACGTCATCTTTTCTGATGAATGTCACTTTGTCGCATATAAGCGACTAAATGAAAAAAACGCACGCTCCCCAATTATTAACTATAAATCAAATATGCATTGCTCAGAGTATCCAATGACAACGAGTAAATGTCATCTGTACTTTTAATTTTCATTCATCAAATTGAATACATTTTTGGAAATATGCGAACTGCTCTATTGTAGAAAAAATCTTGTGTGTAATTCGAGCGCAAATTGATAGTCGATTTCAAGAGATTGCCGCGCTCCTTCGTCGCGCGTCAACTGTCTCTTTCAATCGACAATATATCACTTTGCGCTCTTAATACACAAATAGCTATTTTCACACGTTGTGCGTACCATCAGTCGTTTGTGAAACGCGGCTTAAGAGTATAGTAGCACAATAACCAATTCCTACTCTTGTTTTTTTGTAGTACAATCATTGTATTTATAAATGTTTATAAATACAATGGTACAATTTAAACAATTATTTAGTCCTCTCTAAAAATACTGTGTTACGTACACACATTGAATAAAAACAATGGTATAAATTAGTCTAAGAAAAACCATAGTATACCATACTCGCTATAAGGGCATTATTCCTTTGGATGTTTTACATCTCCCGCTCGTTTTGTAATAACTTTCATCCTCAGTAATGATTAGGCATTCGTTATATCGTGGTTGTTCAGTATTCAACAATACTCTCGTCTGATTTGATTGTGCCCTCCCCTCTCGAGCCACCATTTTATAAACTTTTATACCATTGAATATAAAATTAAATAATATACATACCATTTATGTTTTTTCGCTCAGATTTTAAATAAAATCGAAGAACTTTTACTTTAGTACTATTCAAAATCTGAGAAATAGATATATCTGGTGGATATTCATTGTGTTTGAAGTCTAGCAAGTCAAAATCGAAATCCTCGATGTTTCCTTTGGGTGAGAAACCGTTAGGGAAAAACACTTTTTGCGCAGCTTCAATCAGTTCTTGTTTCATCGCAGATTTCTCCACTGTCAGTTTCCTAGTTCCTCCCCCTTTTTTGCTACGTACTTGCACAATTTTGTTTCCATCTTCATGTAGCCAACCCATTTCAATATTTCTGGTCGACTTTTCTGAATTGTATTTAATTTTTTTCTTTGTGTGTACCACAGATTCCTCATCATTTTTATTTCCCCTAAATATTTGGCTTCTAATTTTTTCCAGTAGTGATTGTTTAGAAGCTTCTTGTTTCGATGTACTTGGTGCTCGCATCAAACAAAACTCTCTAACCAACTTCCTGTGCCCATAAGCTGGTAAAAATGTTTTTAGTTCTGTATCGGACATCATATTTATAACTTCTTCAGAAATCTGAACAAAAAAAAACATTTGTTAGAATAAATTTGTGGGGAGGAAGATAGTAGGTGAATGACTCTGATATTTTAAATGCTAATGCATATAGATTCAACAAGTCCCTAACTTTTTAAATGTATCCATAAGCATTAGCTTATTAATCTAATACAAACCTGTTCTGCAATAATATTTTGAACAACTTCCTCTGGCACATTATGCCGTTTCAAGAAATCTTCTAATTCCGACATTTTTTCTCAAACCACGTAAAATGCAGATCGTACAACTGAAACTAAGTTAGGTGCTTAATGTGCGTTCCAACTGAATTATGGGTTTTGTTTTGTGTTTTGTTCAATTCAGTGGCTGTTAAACATAAAATTTTGTTTCGTAAGCAAAGTTAAAGCTGTATGATTATGTCGCCACTTGGTTTGTTACTCACTAGTGGTTAAAGGAGACAGTATTGTTCAATCGCATTACTGCGACGTGTGTGAGACGAAATGTGACACACCATATGATACGATCGTCGATCGTCCTCCAACTTTAAGTTTCGACCCTATTGGTTGGTTCACGAAGATAACTTATTAGATAGCCATCTCCAACTAAACTTCAAGAAAACCAATTCGCGAATCCACCATTTGTGCTCAATACCATCACCGAACACAAAACAAAATAAAATGTAAATAGAAGTAACTAGAATTAGTATAATATTTAGGGTAGGTGTAGGTACCTACGTATGATTTTACAAACATTAAGATTAATAACTAAAATTATAGTACATTCTTCAACGAGCGTAGAATAGAAGCTATTATTCACGTGGATGAAGTTCCAAGTGAATAATAGCCATTCTAGGCAAGTAGAAGACTATACTTCCTTTACGACTATTAAAAAATTAAAAGAAATTAGTTACGTTTTTGACGTTTCAAATGGTGACTTATGCGGTTGCTAAGATACGCTCCGTCAGTTTTTTCCAAAGCGATGTGATTATTGCATATTACCGTGAATTCTGAAAAATAAAAGCATGTGATTGGCTAATCGAGCGTGATTTCTTACAAAGAAATCACGCTGTGAAGAATTTAAACTATTATTCAATGTAATATGCAGCAAGAATCAGGGCATTATTTAATAGTCGTAGAGAAAATAATTATTATTACCTACATTGCTACCTACCTGCCTACTACATACAAACAGATGGCACAAAATAAACTCAAAATGTAAGTATAACAACCGGCTCGAACGCTGGAATCTCTTGATCACGTCTCGTTGTTCAGGACGCACACACAAATGAAAAAGTCAATATAGTGAGAAAAATCTCAATATATTGAGAAAAATGCCAATATATTGAGAAAAATCTCGATATATTGAGAAAAATCTCGATATATTGAGAAACATCTCAATATATTGAGAAAAATCTCAATATATTGAGAAAAAAGTCAATATATTGAGATTTTTAAAAGAAAAAAAGTTGGTGACACCAGGAAGCTTTCGTACATACTACTATGCGATCAAAATTGAGTTGCTATCGAGTCACCTTTGGAATTTTTGTTTACATGGTAAATCGTACTTAACTTGAATTTCCAAAGGCAACTCGACAGCAACTCATTTTTGATCGCCCGTTAGTTGTAAAGTGGATTTATTATGTGGGGTAGGTATTGCGCAAGATTATGACTATATACTTACCATAGCCCTTAAAGTATGTGTCTACAATAATGTATTTTGTTAGGTGGCACATTAAAGTATATGGAAGATATAACAATTTATGGGAATAGGTACTATGTCCGGGTTCACTTCAAAGTGAAAACCATATAAGTATAGATCATTTAAAAAATACCGCTACTTAATATTAGACAAAAATTTTGAAGAAAGTATAGTTTGCAACTTTTCTTTAATCATTGCAGAGTTAAGATGTAACGCCCGCAGTGATGTGACAGCGGTTTGTAAAGTATTTTGAGACTTTAGTAATTCTTGATCAATCGCAGTTAAATTTTTTCCAGCTTGTGTAATGACACTTTGAGAAAATGCATCAAGATCAGTGCATAATTGGTCATTACACTCTCCTAAAATCAACATGTGACGGCATTCATTAAGCACTTAACTTACTTAGTTTTTTATGCAGTAGCGAATCACTCTTATGTTGATCGCTAAGACCACTTTTCGTAAACTCTTGTGCTGACTGTGTTAAAACGGATACTGCACTTGCAATGCTGCCTGGGTTTTCTATAAAGAAAACCATCACTTAATACCTAACATACACAATGCAACTGCTTATAGATAGTAAGTTATTACCATCGTCAGACTCCGAGTCTTCGCCTGTTACGATTGCAGCTTGAATAGAAGTACTTGTAGTCATATCTTTCACCTAAATTCCCTATTTGTATAAAACTACAGCCTTAAGCCAGAATTTACCTTGCAGTTATCATCATCACTATCCGTTTCAGAAGCCTCTCCACTGATAATGACGGATGAATTAATCATTTTCCTATCTCTTCACTGAAGTACGATAAACAGGAATTGTATAATTTCTTATTTATTCTAGCTTACACTGCCAAACCTTTTCGAAGTAATGAACAGCTGTTTTTGAAAGATAAATAGAGAGTGGTTGCGTTCTCCCACGGATACAAATTTGAGAACGATTGAATGCGGACAGAAAGAAAGGTGGGGTTATTCATAGCGTTTTCGATTGGCAACACTCGTGCTGCACGAGTGCAATTTTTACGTTCTATTGGTAAATTTAGGGCAATTTTCTGTGTTCCATTGGCAAATGTGATGCAACAATTACGCACAAACAAAACAAACGTGCCACAATTTGAATTTATTTCTTGCGTTGGAGAGTTTTTTGTCGTCATCTAGCGATAGCGAAGATGATGAACTACCCAGCAAACATGCATATAAATGATATATAGCATGCGAAGCTCAATCATATTACACTCGTTATATAACGATTTTCTGTACATGTTACATAACATTTCTTTTATTTTGAAATGTATCACACATCCTTTGAGAACATATTCACGGTATATATTACTATACAACTTTTATGATACATTGCAACTTGTCACTTGAACATATGCGATATATCGCAAATACAATCTACATTCACAAGTTTAAATTAATGACACTAAGCACATGCGCAAAGGCACGGTGAATTGTGCACATGTAAAGTCCCTAGATTACTTCTAGGGACTTTATGCACATGCACACGCTTCCGAAAATTTGATGCAATTAGGGTGGTTTTAATAAAAGTTTAATTTGTGTTTATTATTATAATATATATACAAACAGTTCTGTGGTGAAGTTTTAGTTTTTGGCATGCTACCAATTGAGTTAGAAAACTAATGGAGGGAATATAATGGTAGAGGGGGTAAGAATTTTTGTAGACGGAAGTTGCCACAGATAGAGGCCACTCGCGTGGATAGGTTCCCGTGAAGGTACATTTTGGCCGACATTATTGACATATGAAAACGCGGGTCCTGCCTGTTATATATATTTAAAATTACATCATAATTGCGCTGGAAAAAAAGAGTATCCTAGTTACGAGAATAGCAAGTAGGAAAATTGTCAATAAATTAAGTTTGTTCCATTCTGTTCCATTCATATAAATCAGAATCCACGAAATACAAATATAACAAGTGGCGACGAGGATAAGGAAGAATATTACAAAGTACAATGAATACCACACCTACAAATACAGTACAGCAGTCATTGAATACAGTACAACATTCATTTATAATTGAAGCGTTCAACCCAAGTACAACATCATGGGCCAGGTGGGTAAAACGTCTAGAAGGTGCTTTCAAGGTATTTAATACTACGGATGATATGAAAGTGTACTACATATTACACTACATGGGTGCGAGTACGTATGACATCCTCGCAGACAAATTATCTCCGGTGGAACCAGAAAGTAAAACGTATATAGAAATTATACAGACGTTGGAACATTTCTACTCACCATCGCCGTTAGAAGTAGCCGAAATATTTAGATTTCAATCTCGTAAACAAGTAGAAGGTGAGTCGATCCAAGAATATTGTCATGCATTACAAAAATTAAGCATCAATTGCAAATTTGGTAATTATTTGAATAACGCTGTAAGGAATCAGTTAGTGTTCGGGCTTCAATCAAAAAGAATACAAACTAGACTACTAGAAACAAAGGACCTGACTTTAGAAAAAGCCATGGAAGTCGCTAGCAGCATGGAAATTACCGAAAAAGATATACAGCAGTTACAACACAAAGGTACAAATGTGCATGCCATCAATTACAATTTCAAGAAGGATACAAAAAATACACACAAGGGAGAAGATACAAGTGCAGCCGCGAAGAAGACCAATTTTCAGGAAAAGAAGAAAATCAATACAGGAAATTTTAATTCTAATACTAATATACATTGTTTTAGATGCGGAGGCAATCATTTTGCCAACAAATGTAAACTAAACAGGAATATCACATGTACATCCTGTGGTGTAAAAGGTCATTTGAGAAAGGTTTGCATGAAGGATAAACAGGTAAATAATGTAGAGGAAATTTTACAAATTACATCGGAATCTACTGAGTACAGAAAGAAATATTCAATTACGTTAAAGCTTCAAAATAAATCAGTAAATTTCGAAGTTGATAGCGGTTCAGCCGTTACGCTTATAAGTTATAAGTCAGCAGTGTTACAGAAAATTGTTTGCTACACATGCTCTTCAATGTACAGATTTAAAGCTATTCTCATATTGTGAAATGCCTGTACAATTAATTGGATATATTACAGTGAACGTTCAATACAATCACCAAAAGTACGATTTGAATTGCTATGTTACAAAACTAGATAGACAACCACTATTGGGTCGCGAATGGATTAGACAGTTAAATTTGTTACAAATAAACAATATTTTACAAATTTCATCCAAAGTAGAAATAGGGTGGAATGATTTATGTAAATGTTACACTACAATTTTTAATAATGACTTTACTAAGATTAGAGGTATACAAGCCAAGCTTCAGTTGAAACCCAACGCAACACCGGTATTTATTAAAGCGCGCCGAATTCCATTTAAACTAGTACCATTAGTTGAAAAAGAAATAGATAAGTTAGTGGAAGCAGGAGTGTTAGAAAAAGTTAATACGTCACAGTGGGCTACACCGGTAGTGCCTGTTTTAAAAAGTAAACGATTCGATTATGTGGTGATTTTAAAGTCACTGTTAACCCCAACTTACAGATCGATGAATATCCTTTGCCAACGATTGATGAGTTATTATCTTCGATGGCAGGAGGAATATATTTTTCAAAAATTGATTTACGAATTTCGTACTTACAACTTGAGGTCGTACCTGAAGACAGACCACTCTTAACATTAAATACACATAAAGGTTTATACCAATGTAATCGATTACTTTACGGAATTGCATCTGCTCCAGCCATTTGGCAAAGAGAAATTGAAAAAATTTTGTGCGATATTCCAGGTGTTACTGTTTTTGTAGATGATATTAAAGTTACAGGGTTGTCATACGAGGAACATTTATATACACTAAAAACCGTTTTTGAAAGATTGAGCAAGTACAACATTAAAATTAACAAAGAAAAGAGTGAGTTTTTCAAAGAACAAATCGAATATTGCGGGTATGTTATTAATAAAGACGGTATACATAAATGCAAAAAGAAAATGGATGCCATTACAGAAATGCCTCGACCTAATAATGTTTCAGAAGTACGAGCATTCATTGGCTTTGTAAATTATTACGGAAAGTTTATAAAGAATTTAAGTACAATTCTTTATCCACTAAATCGATTATTATGCAAAAACTCTAAGTTCCATTGGTCAAAAGAATGGGAAAATAGTTTTCAACTTGCAAAAACAGAATTTCAAAGTAACGAATTTCTTGTTCATTTCAATCCAGAAAAACCAATCATAGTTGCTACAGATGCAAGCTCTTATGGTGTGGGTGCGGTTCTTTCACATGTTGAACCAGATGGTACAGAACGAGTCATACAATATGCATCACAAACATTAACAGAAACCCAAAAGAAGTATACCCAAATAGACAAGGAAGCATATGCCATCATTTTTGCAATTAAGAAATTTCACCAATATTTGTTTGGTAATACTTTTACGTTGTACACAGATCATAGACCTTTAACACAAATATTATCGCCAACAAAAAGTTTGCCATTTTACACAGCAATGAGAATGCAACACTACGCATTATTTTTGCAAGGGTTTAATTACACTATTAAATACAAAAATACAAATAATCATGGTAACGCAGATGGTTTATCAAGACTTCCAAGTAGAGCAGACACATCAAATTACGATGTAATTGATATTTTCCAAATTGATACAATTGAAACTTTACCGATTACAGCACAAAAATTAGCTGAAGAAAGTAGGAAAGATTTAGGTATTTCAAAGCTTATCACATCCTTACAAGTACAGAAAAATATTCCTAAAGATGAAAGATGGAATATAGAACAAAATGAATTTAGCATTCAGCAAGGTGTTTTAATGAGAGGACACCGAGCAGTCATTCCTAAACAGTTACGTAAATCTATATTAGACGAGATTACATGAAGGACACTTTGGGATGGCTAAGATGAAAGGGTTAGCACGAGGAATTTGTTGGTGGCCGGGTATTGATGCAGATATAGAAAATACTGCTAAAAAATGTGTTAGTTGTAACCTAGTCAGAAATAATCCCAAACAAGTAGAAAAGCATATTTGGGAACCAGCTGATCAACCGTTTCATCGTGTACACGCAGATTTTGCAGGACCTTTCATGGGTAAATATTTTTTTATTTTAGTTGATAGTTATTCAAAATATCCATTTACATACGTTGTTAATGATATCACAGCGAAAACTACAATAAAAGTTTGTAGAGAAATTTTTGCTGCATTCGGATTACCAAAAGTTTTTGTAACCGATAATGGCAGTACATTTCATTCAAGAGAGTTTCAAAACTTTTTGAAACAAAACGGAGTTAGTTCCAAATTTACAGCTCCTTACAATCCATCAACAAACGGGCAGGCGGAACGTTTTGTTCAAACTCTAAAAAAATCACTTTTGAGTACTCGATGCACTAATAATGAAATAGACCAAAATGTACAAAAAATTTTAATGAAATACAGAATTATGCCTCATAATGTTACACAAGTATCACCATCAAAATTAATGTTTGGAAGACAAATACGTTCTCGTTTAGACAGTTTTCTTCCTGACAAAGAACAAGATCATGTAGTTAATTTTGAAAAAGAATGTGTGGAATTTCAAAGGGGTGATAGAGTCCAATGTAGGATTTATGTTGGTAAAAACAAGTGGACTTTTGGGAAAATATCCAAAAGAACAGGTAGATTACATTATGAGATTACATTGGACAATGGTAAAATATGCAGAAGACATATAAATCAGATGATGAAATGTCACAGAAACGTACCAGTACAATCCGATGTAGAATTAGATCATTTTGATTATGTAAATCCCGAATCAGACTCAAATGAACCAATTCAACCACGACAGGAAAATTTACAAGAACCTGAACATGTAACACAGAATGTAAGACCACGAAGAAATGTTAGATTTCCACAATACTTACAAGATTATGATCTTAATTAAATGTACGTTTCTTCATGGTTGTGAATTTAAGGTATTTTATTTAGCGAGGGAAGTGTTATATATATTTAAAATTACATCATAATTGCGCTGGAAAAAAAGAGTATCCTAGTTACGAGAATAGCAAGTAGGAAAATTGTCAATAAATTAAGTTTGTTCCATTCTGTTCCATTCATATAAATCAGAATCCACGAAATACAAATATAACACTGCCACTGTCAGTTTTTCACCAAATTCAAATTTTATTAAATTTGCCATTTTAAAGTACCTAATAATTTCGGATCGGTTTGTGCTCTGGTTTATATAAATAACTAACTGCCGCATGTGTTTTTATCACACGCAATTTTGTGAATTGAGAATGATTAGCTGCGTATCATGCAAAATTTCTCATAAAGGGAAGAAACAGGGCATTTCCTTTCATCGGTAAGACCTGTCATTTATCATGTTGTAGGCGAGGTTGTAGGTACCTAGTTTATGTTTCTTAGTTTTCCAAACGAACCAGTACTTCTAGCAAATTGGTTACCTAACATTTGTAAATATATCTCAAGAACAGCTCGCGAAATTTGCTTTTGTGCTCACAACGCTTCATTGACTGTGATTTCGACCAAAAGTTGCACCGGAAAATGTTCATCAAATATCTCGTCAAATATGCAGTAGGTACTATCAAAACTTGTTTTTACAGCTAAACGTGTGAGTTTATAATATGGATATTTTTTACGAGTGCGAATACATTTTGAGACCAATAAACAATAAATTCTTATTGAATCTCTCTGCCGTTGTAATAAACCTGAGACCAACCAGTCAATTGTAGCTATTGATCAACACAGTGAATTTAATGGGAGTTGTCAAGTTGTAGTGGCTATAGTAAACTGGCCTTAATAATTATACTACTGGAACACATCGCTGTATATTTAGATTTGTAATCCATGATTATATTAAATCTGCATACTTTCCCATCTTTGTCTATTTTGTTTACTTTACCACGAGCATGTATTTTACTCCTTCTATACGTTTTTTTTGTTATTATTTCTATTAGTGGAAAGAAAATTATACCTCTACGCCACTGAAGTGAGACGCTAATGATAACGGAAGTGGTGTGGTACTTTAATCACAGCTAGAGGCCACTTTTGGTTCCCGTGGTCTACGTCTGGCCAAGCATTTGATTCCCTCTATTAGTTTTCTAACTCAATGCATGCTACCCAGCGACATGTAAGTACCTAGAAAGTTTTTATATTTGATTAAAATTTGTACATTAAAGCGATCTTAACCTAACTTTATATGCACTTCATGTACGATTCTTTTTAACATATTTCATTAGGGCGACGCTCAAAAATACACTTTGTGGTTTGTTTAGTAACCGACGTTCACAAGTTTGCAAAGGTATATTAAATGAGTAACCTGGCACTTACCTAAACCTTGCGATAGTTACCGCATCACTGATCGTCAATTAATATTTGTTCGTAGCAAGTTTTTGGACCTTACACAACAAAACAAAATGAAAAGAAGCAGAAAAGATTTGGTGTAGAAGAATTCATACAATCACCAGCCACTCCTGTAGCAATCGACGTAGAAGTTAACAAGAAGTTTGGTAGGCGATAAAGGCTTCTTGTTTTAATAAATATAATAATGCTAATATTTTTTTAGACAAAATTTTGGAAATGCTGCATTCTGTCCATTTATATGTACGTAGCATTGATGAAATTTAAAAAAATTACACTCGGTGACAACTGAAGAACGTAATCAGCCTACAGCTGAAACAAAATTTATAAACGATCTACTGCCAATCCCTAATATTGATGCTCTCAAACAATTTGAAGTTTTATTAGAGAATGAAGGCCATACTAAACAGTTTGTAAGTAATCGCTATTAAATATATGCCGCTTTTAAAATTTGCTTGTTTTTTCAGCACATAATTTTAAGTAACATTGGTGGTAAAAATGGAAAGGATAATATTCACCGTCTTTTAAAGAAAGTTTATTCAAACCAAATGTCTACAAAGTGCTCTTGGTTAGGACAAAGAGGAAACTTTAAAATTAGCACCACAAAAAGTATGCAAATTATAAAAGGTAAATCATTGATGCTAATTAGCTTAATATTTATATTGATTATCGTTTACAGGTGTCACAATAAATTCATATGTTGATGTCAAGGAAAGCGATTTCGAACGCATTTCCAGCGAATGGTTCCGGTTGGCAAAATTACGAGCAGACCGAGAAAGATAAATACCTATTTTGATATTCTTATTACCTTTTTATTTAACAGATTATTAATTACCTGTACGAGTTGTGTTACGTTTGCTATGTATATTTTACATAATAAATTAGTTAAAAGATACGTCTATGAAACATATCTATACATGACAATAAATATATCACAGATATATTTATGTATATATGATCTATATATCTCCAATACATTTATGTATATATAATCTATATATCTCAAATACATTATTGAAACATACCATTTATGTTACTAATGAAATATTATATACATAGTTGATACATGTCTATGTTGCTGACATAGAGCTATCCTCGTGTAGGAGTATTTTATATATTTGATACTTAGGAAGGAAATAATCTATACAGCTTTGATACATATCTTTGTTGGCTGGGTAGCCATAACTTCTACTTTACAAAAAGTTGCACTTAGTCATTAAACTGAACGCCAAAAATTGGTCTTTTTCAGGAATTTCAAATTTATACTCCTCATCGTTTATCATAAATAATACTGAAATCATTTCAGTCATTTTTTAGAATAGAGATTTGTCGATTATCTAAATCTATAATGAGGTTATGGACAAATGACAACAAATATTTGCAAATATTTATGTTCTATTGAGAACAATTTTCACAGGATTTCTTCAGTTTCTCGTGCAGCACGAGTTTTACCAATCGAAAACGCTATCAAATAGACGTATGTGTCAGGCCCGGATGCTCCGGTGTTTCGTTAGGCAGGGGCCCTATTCTTGACTACGTATTTATCAATGTCAATGTCGAATTTATACATTGTAACCTAAAATTTTAGGATAGGTGCCACGTTTTGTATACCTTGACGTAACTTGATTATATCAGAATGGATAGCTACACTTATTTACATAACTTTACAAAATAATGAACATGTCCACCGTATTCAAACTGTGTAAAAATCAATTTGAGGAATGGGGTTTTACAGTATAGTTGAGTTCCGCAGTTCTAATTTAATAAGGGTGTACCTGAAACCATAAGACATTCTTTTGGACAGTAAAAGTTTATTTAAAAATAATAATAATAAATCGTTTATTGGGTTTAACATGGAATACATCATCAGGTACATGAGCATGATCATTACAATTTCTTAGTCCTTCCAGTTTCCCCCAAGGGGTTAAGATTCAGATTGGTCAAAAATATTAACCATCTGGTCTACCACTCAGCCCCAATACCCCATAGAGAGGTAGGTATACTTCAGTCATGGAAATAGAGGCTGATTAGCAAAAAAAATAATGAACATGTGTGGTTTTAAGAGTTTATTCAAAACGATATGATTGTGGCGGGCTCTGTGACGTAATAAGCCCGACCAATCAGCTCCTAGAACCATTCAGATGACATAACGACTTGGCAATATTGCAGGAGAATGTCATTTGTAACTTGCGTCACCTATCACAGGCACTTGTCACTTGAAATTGAAATTTTACATTACTACGAGTATACGATTTCGGGACTTCGGGTATAATTTTATACAAAACTCTTCAGTAAAATGACATTACCTGACATTACTGTCGCCAGTAATGTGTCATTTTCCTGACTTTTATGCAAATATCCATTATACCTACCCATATATGGGTGCGGAAAAGTAAAATATTCAGTGGTTTTCTATAGTATATGAATTGAGGGATGAGTGAACCCGATTGCCCTTCTAGGATAGACCAGAACTCGAGAGTGGCGCACCTCATAAACCTCTGCTATTCAACAACACTGACCTGTATATTTCTGTGTTCAACAACCCCTTATTTTTTAAACGCAAGGATGCCAAAATGGCCTGCATTCTCAAGTGGAGGCATTCCTTAAAAATAGGCCTCGCCGATTTTGGCATGTGAGCTTTCAAGGTGGACGAACAAGATGTCAAGATAATACTAATAGTACCACTTTTTTGCGAGTTCATGCAGAAACGAGAAATATGTAGGTACATCTCATTAGTTGCTATTTCATCAACCCGCGGTTATCATTTTTAAATTGTTTTTTACATTCGAAACGTATAAGAGTTTTTATTTCTAACTTATAGACACGACACGTATTGTCTTTAATGCATAAGTAAAGCTCTAATGGCTTTCGGATTAATTAAGCAATTTTAAATCCGGATACGTCAAGATCCAAAGACCACTGACACCGGGGCATAGTAGTACCTACGACGTATTTGGTACAGAAAACAGTCATTAAACGTAGGGACTAAATTGTTTTGTTTAGATACGCAATGGGGTAATAGGCAATACCACAATATTATTACATTACATAAGTTATCATACAATAGAAATTATTACATATAATTAAACGGAATATATAGCTACTTTAATTAACCGTATTGTTTTCTAAAAAAATTGGACTATTCAAAACTCCTTTAACTATTCATTTAGATAATTAAAATGTATATGAGGTACAATAAGAGGAAGCAGTGCAAAAATAGATAGTGAAAGTGGCGTTAACAAAAGGGTTTGCTTCGTGCATACGGTAACAGCGAAGAAAGTATATAAGTATAACATATGCAAAAATGTACGCGAGTGGTCAATTGCCCAAGAAAATCGAATCCCCTTCTTGCGAACTAGACCTGTAATTAGCAAAACATTAATCTTGTAGGTTGCGGAAGTAGGTAGTCGGGATCGGTTTAATCTTCTTTCGAGTCTTCTTTAGTAGCCGTTAGCAGCGTGTTGGCCTAATGAACATGAGCATAACCAGGTTGACAGTGGTTAAGTGTAGGTCAAGAAATGGTGTAATTACCGTTAAAAAACATTAAACAGCAATCTTAATTCGTACAATTAAAAATCACCGAAAATGACTGTCGCGAACTTTTTTTTGGTTGTTATTGAAGTACTTTTTCTGGGTGTATTTATTCGAGCAGATACCTTTTCTAAAAGTGAGTACTTATATTTTGAAATTTTTAGGCGTAGGTACATATTATAATTAATTATGCTGTGAAAAGTATAAATACATTGGTATAGGTACTAAAATGCAGAGTAATTTACAACTTCTTGAAATAAAAAAACGAAAATAATCGAACTAAAAATAAAGACAGTTTTTCATTATGGCACTCCGTTCAACAAAAATAGTTATAGGATTTTAAAAGTAACTTCAAATTTTTAAATCTTTCTTATTTTGACGTTAATTAATCGCTATAAACCTATACACAGATTGTCTTGTGCTAACTTTGCATATGTCATTTTTTTGTATTTATAATAAACTTGGTAAAGATGGGAAACTGATACCTATTTTTAATAATTTATTTAATTCTTAATAATGCTATATGATTGACGTAGGATAGGTAGATACTCGTCGAGAAAGAAGTTGGATCCGATTCTTGACGAGATAATTCAAATGAATTACATATATCAATACTTTACCAATATATCGATCATATCTACAATCTACAAAACATTCCTTTTGTATTCCAAGAAGGCATCAAGAACTATAAATTAACGTGTTTTGGTAGGTAATTAAAGGAGCGACTAGTATTACTGTTCCTCCCGGAGGGATTAACAGTAAATGCATGAGCGACGAAAAGTGACTGTAAACATTGAAATATCAAACACAATTTAATAATTAATGGATAATTATATTTAAATGTAGGTACGTACCCATAATATATTTTATTTTTCATTTGCCTATTATATGCCAATTATATCTGTCATATGAGATATATAAAGCAGTCTATGACGCCCGAGGGCATAATGAGAGGGCATAATGGATTGTCATCTCATTATGCCCTCAAACGGCCTGTCAAATATATTGAGGGAGGCATATTATGTAATAAAAAGGATGCTAAGTACTTAATTTGTATGAAGCACTTTAATGTTGGCAAACAATAATGATTGCAATTGTATATTGGAAATTGCATTATTTGGAACGATAAAAAATAAAATTTTGTATGCACATGCACCTCAGGCATTACTCGATATTTAACCCTCGGGCGACTTATAATCCCTCGGGCCGGAGGCTCTCGGGCTCAGTCGCCCTCGGCATAAATATCGCCTTAATGCCCTTGATAGGTACATTAAATAACTAATTACTAATTTTGTATTTGGGGAGTAACAGCACAGACAACATAAAATATATACAAACCGCTGAAGTACTATTACCACAGACATAACATACCATATGTTGTCTGTGGTAATAGTTCTTCAGCGGTTTGTATTTATTTCTTCTGGTGTACATCCAAAAGTTTAAACGGCTGTTCTCAATATACTCCAATCTTTTATCCAATGTCTATCAAGCAAATTCAAATGTCATTATCGTCTCTGAAATTCATGTTGGAAAATGCGTGAATTAAAGTTAACTGTTTGCGCATATTTTATCTTTCACTGAGAAGAAGTGAGATACCAGTGAATAGTGGACTGGACAGGATGGCCAGATAACGATTCACCTAGCCCACAGGTCATATGGCTCTTTGGTAAAATTTCTCGTTGAAGTTAGCTTCACCATTATAAAATTTATTGCCAACGTACATGTACAGGCTGATTCAAATTCGAGGACCACCATGGGGATCTCGGAAACTGTAACAGATAGGTGGGTAGTTTAAATTTAGCAAAGTTGCGTATTTTGATGCTTGACAAAATGCCGTTTTGAAACTGAAAAAATTCCCACTTCTTATGGAGATATCCGGAAAAAAACGAAACTTTGCAAAATCGTTTTATTTTTTACCGAAGATATTTCAAAATAAATGACACATTATTATGTCCACTTTTTTCCAGGTTGACATTTGATCTCCAGTTAACTATCATCATCTTCGTTTGTTCTCATGGAAGTCATTTTTATTTTTTGTCATTTGGTAGGGCATTTGTTCTGATTTCAAAAATGCAAATATCACTAATTTTTAATAACAAATAGCGCTACTAATTCGTTAAAAGGCAAGAAACTACGAACATAAACTAACATCCAACCCCAAGACAGAGTTCGCCAGACAAAAAAGAAGATATTTTAACAATATTTAAAAAATAATCATGTTTATATTTTTGAATTAAAAAAAAATGTTCTATCAAATGACACAAAAAATAAAAATGATTTCCATAAAAAAAAAACGAAGTTGATGATGGTTAACCGGAGACGAAACGTCGGATTTAAAATTTAAAACTAGCATCTTGTAGAGGGAAGAAAGTGGCCATAATAATGTGTCATTTATTTTGAAATATCTTCTTACATAACTTCTACAAAAAATAAAAACGATTTTGCAAAGCTTCGTTTATTTTCGTATATCTCCGAAAGTAGTCGGAATATTTTCAGTTTCAAAACAGCACTTTGCTAAGCATCAAAATACGCAACCTTGCCAAATTTAAACTACATACCTATCTTACAATTTCCGAGATACCCATGGTGGCCCTCGAATTTGAATCAGCCTGTATACAGTGTGCCCTAGATCGATCGAGATTGCAGGAGAAAGAAAGTTCGTTATTCAATATTCCTGAAGATAGAATTATAGAAATTAGATTAGGTAACTCAGCTGTTATGCTATTGTGATTAGAAAATATGAATATTCGAATGAACCCGATTGCTGAATAATTTCTCGTTTTCAAAATAAGTATACGGGATTGGATAAAAAAGTTAACGGACCTAACCTAACATTTTTTTATTACAGGAATCCTCAAATCCTTTATAGTTTGGTTTGGTAGTATGGTTGTCCGTTCTTTTGTCCACCCGTTCGTCTGTGTTCGCTATATAACTCTTAGTTAAGATCCCCAGATATTTTCATCGCTTTTAATATTTGTGTGTCCGTTCGACGATCGGTCTGTCTATTCGTCCGTCCGTCTGTCCGCCCCTGTACGCTATAATTCTTTTTAAAAGTGACAGGTCGTATTGATTTAGTGTACGGGTACTTTAGACATTAAGAAATTGCGCTATTGTTTTTCAGGAAACTGGTTCAACAGGAACAAAAGTTTAGGACTTCGAGTGAATCGGAAACCGGAAAAAGTGTGGGCTCAATGTAATAGAAATCAAAATATTTCATTCCCTAGGTTATGTATCGAGTTCGGACTTTCGCTAGTATATTGTCTATGACTCAGATGTGTAACAATTCAATATAACTCCTTTCTGTGATCTAGGTCTAAGTTTTAGTGCAAAATGTACCTACCCAAAATTATTCTTTACACATGAACTTGGATCCGTAACAGCTTTAAACGCATTATCTTGATGCCGAAAGAGTAGTGGTTCATTCAAGGACGTAAAAATTTTTTCTAGGGCCACAAAGACTAAGAGCATTATTTCGATGCCCAAGACATAAATTTGATGCATTTTTGGCGACCACGTGTATTTTGATCCAAGAAAAATGATTATTTCATACCAAGATCGCTGGGAAAAAGACTAACAGCATTAAGCTCAATGCCCAAGAAATTAGACGCATGTTTGTTGATTATAGGTACGTATTTTACAAAGTTAAAACAAATAGTGATTAAAAAAGTGTTGGTCATGCGAAGGAGCCTTTAATATTCCGTTATATCGGTTTATTTCTTTATATAATTGTATTTTATTTCGTTTCTACTTTTTTGACGTAAAACCACGTTTTAAAGCACCAGCATTCCGAATCAAACAAAACCTCGATGATGTCGATCTATCGGTCTGTTCTCTACCGATGCGTAGATCCTTTTTATGCTTGTTTTAGGCCCTCTTATATTCGGCATAAGTGGTGACAGTCGGGCGGATGGCACCGTTGTTATTTTCATGGCTCTCTGTACGTGCGGTTCAAAGGGAAGCAGTCCACTCCTCAATCCGTCATATGCCTTCTCCCTTGAATTCGCACCCCGTAGATCACGGATCTGGGCATCATGTAGGACTCTACTGTTCAGCCAGTTTCTAACCGTTTGGATAGTCTCGCAAGCTTCACTAAGACTTGTTCTTCCAGCGCTTTAGTATTTTCTGTCATTATTCGGCATTTAAATATTCAGATATAAGATAATCAAAATATTGTTTAGTCGGCGACAAGTAAATTTTTCATTTGAAAAAAAAATGAAGCGAAAGGTGTTATAGCATGAGGTTTGCCCCGGAAGGGATGGACGGACTGACAAAGAGAAAGATGCCATGTATCAGGATGCGTTCTATAACTGCCGATTTATAATTTTTCCTAATGATATGAATGCTTGTATATGCAGGAATAGATTTTTTTAATGTAGGTACTGAATAAAAACGTTAATTTTATGATTACATAATTTGCAAAATAAATTGTCCGGATACCACACATCCTTATCTTCACGACTACCTTAGGCGTGCTGCCTAACATAATAAATTAGGGAAATTTGCCACAGGCCACTGCACTTCCTGATTCTATTTTTATATGATTTTTGTTTCCCTGGAACACGAAAGAACTGAAAATCTTTAGTAGATAACCTACAAAATTGACGTCTGATCTCATGTTCAAGGTAAAGGACTTAATGCGCATCTGCGGACGTCGGGAGCACATTTTTATATAATTAGTGTCTTTTAAGATGCTGGCCGAGACCAATAGAGGTTTTCCCCTTTAAACAGGCGTTTAAAATATAATAAGATTTTGTACCAAAATGTAATACGTACAGTACATGAAATTTGGCAAATTGCTATTAACTTGTGTACAGAAACCTGATGTATTTTTGCAATGTATGTCGTATACCCCCGAGAGCATAATAAGTTTTTACTCAGTGTACCAACTTTCTTATGGAGGGATTTAAATGAAATTTGATACATAGTCACTTGGAATAAAAGAAAATTATACACCCGTTTCAAAATTTGGTTTTGCGCATGCGCAGTGCTAACTTTCTTATTTATGGAGGGATTTAAATGAAATTTGATACAGTCATAGCCACTTGGAATAATAGCAAATGTAGCTACAATTTCAAAATTTGGTTTTGCGTATGCGCAGTGCCAACTTTCTTATTTATGGAGAGATTTAAATAAAATTTGATACATAGCCACTTGGAATAAAAGAAAATTTAACACCAGTTTCAACATTTGGTTTTGCGATTGCGCAGTGCTAACTTTCTTATTTATGGAGGGATTTAAATGAAATTTGATACATAGCCACTTGGAATAAAAGAAAATTTAACACCAGTTTCAAAATTTGGTTTGGCGCAAGCGCAGTGCAAACTATCTTATTTATGGAGGGATTTAATTGAAATTTGATACATAGCCACTTGGAATAAAAGACAATTTAACACCAGTTTCAAAATTTGGTTTTGCGATTGCGCAGTGCTAACTTTCTTATTTATGGAGGGATTTAAATGAAATTTGATACAGTCATAGCCACTTGGAATAATAGCAAATGTAGCTACAATTTCAAAATTTGGTTTTGCGTATGCGCAGTGCCAACTTTCTTATTTATGGAGAGATTTAAATAAAATTTGATACATAGCCACTTGGAATAAAAGAAAATTATACACCCGTTTCAAAATTTGGTTTTGCGCATGCGCAGTGCTAACTTTCTTATTTATGGAGGGATTTAAATGAAATTTGATACAGTCATAGCCACTTGGAATAATAGCAAATGTAGCTACAATTTCAAAATTTGGTTTTGCGTATGCGCAGTGCCAACTTTCTTATTTATGGAGAGATTTAAATAAAATTTGATACATAGCCACTTGGAATAAAAGAAAATTTAACACCAGTTTCAACATTTGGTTTTGCGATTGCGCAGTGCTAACTTTCTTATTTATGGAGGGATTTAAATGAAATTTGATACATAGCCACTTGGAATAAAAGAAAATTTAACACCAGTTTCAAAATTTGGTTTGGCGCAAGCGCAGTGCAAACTATCTTATTTATGGAGGGATTTAATTGAAATTTGATACATAGCCACTTGGAATAAAAGACAATTTAACACCAGTTTCAAAATTTGGTTTTGCGATTGCGCAGTGCTAACTTTCTTATTTATGGAGGGATTTAAATGAAATTTGATACATAGCCACTTGGAATAATAGCAAATATAACGCGTTTCAAAATTTGGTTTTGCGCATGCGCAGTGCCAACTTTCTTATTTATGGAAAGATTTAAATGAAATTTGATATAGTCATAGCCACTTGGAATAAAAGCAAATGTAGCGATAGTTTCAAAAATTGGTTTTGCGCATGCGCATTGCCAACTTTCTTATTTATGGAGGGATTTAAATAAAATTTGATACATAGCCACTTGGAATAAAATAAAATTTAACACCAGTTTCAAAATTTGGTTTGGCGCAAGCGCAGTGCAAACTATCTTATTTATGGAGGGATTTAATTGAAATTAGATACATAGCCACTTGGAATAAAAGCAAATGTAGCGCCACTTTCCAAATTTGGTTTTGTGTAGGATGTGCAGTGCCAACTTTCTTATTTATGGAAGAAATTTCGTAGGGGTGTTCAAAAAGAATGCGCTTTACCTGCACAAGGGTTGTGCACAATTTGTACTTGATTCTGCATACAACGTAAATTCATGCAACTAATTTATTTTAACAATTGATGCTGTTCAATCGTCTAGTACCTAATGATGTTTTCCAGTAGAGGAGCTAATATCTCAATGGGCTCCCGTGGTATGGTTAGCCCCTGACGATAAATACTTACCGCTCAGCGTCGAGGAGTTCCTAAGTCACGTAGAAGTAGCGCAACAACCTACACCTTTATTTGATACGGAAGCGCAGATGCCGTACGGTCCAGGATCCGAACAATTCTATTTAGTTACAAGAAAGGATCTGGGTATGTAACAATGAATACATTTAGAGAAATTAAAATTAACGTTTTAGGAACACTTTTAAATGATGGCAATTCATTTTTGCATGGGAGAAATCCAACTACTCACAACATACCTGTGTACACAATAGTAACGCCTTGTTCTCCAAACTTATCATTTCATTCAAGCAATGCTAATCGCTTATCAGATAATGTACGCGCATTATACGACAAACTCGAACCTAATCCACATTTCCACGTAGTCTACTGGATGTTCTTTCCTTACAACGAAGGAAAAGAAATATGTGTAATAGGGAAAGTACCTACTCCCATAATCTTTGGCTCCTGTCTCGGCCAAAGGAAGATCTTCGGTAATCATGTAGGAGACTGGGAGCATATCAGCTTATCGTTCAACGGCAACGGGTATCCAGATGCAATGTACGTTTCAGTTCATGATGCCGGCGTATACTACAAATACGATGTCAAATCCAGACAATTTAAGTACATAAATCAAGTTACAAAAAAAGGCATACTACAAAGACCCAAGTTTCCGAAAGAGACTAAAATGCAAAACAATCATCCCGTAGTCTTTTCGGCGAAAGGCTCCCACGGATTATGGTCAGCGCCAGGAAATCACTATTTTGTTAAGGTTCCTCGACTAACAGACGAAAACGGTTACGGCATCAAGTGGGAAACCTGGAGAAATTTAAAAATATATTTCCTTGGGACTAGCGCTATTCCTTCTTGGATGAAATACAAAGGGAAATGGGGAAATCCGCAGTCAAACTGTTTTATTTCTAAGAAACTCGGTTTCTGCGAAGTATCCGATGGCCCAACTGGTATTTTAGAAAGAAGTAACGATTTCAATTGTTCTCAGAGTGTTCATTAGTTGGTTTTTACAGTAAAAGTTACGATGAAGATGTTTGATTATTTTTATCTTTCAAGTTATCGCTGGTGGATAGTTCAGGACAGGATATGCCGCTCATTGCTACCTGGGACGAAATTTAGATCAGCTTTGTAGCTTTTATTGCTTACGTTCATATATCACCAAGCGAACAAGGGCTGAGTTTCAATTTTTTCGAAAGTCGCTCCTCATTTGCGGAGCAATGAAAAAGACAGGAAGTGAATGATTGGCATAAAAATTCATTGCCACGGGATAATAAATTCTTTTGGCGAGTTTTTGGTTCAGGAAACTCATCATATCAATGTTTACAACCAGTAGGAAGATGACAGCTCTTTACCAACATCCCAAAAAATCCTAGAGCAATAATTAGTATAAACCAAATACAACGTTTGCTCAATATAATTTTTTGTGGCTCTTCTACATTTTTGTCATTTCTCTTTTAAATGCTAGCCGTTAATTTAACAATTAAATGTAAATGTGGCAAAATTCTCAAAACTGTGACTTTTACATTCAATTTCACCCCGATGGCGCTACATTCGGGAGAGTCCGACTGGGAATGAGTAACTTGAAAACGGACGTACTATAATAGTAAGATGGAACGTTCAAAATAAGTTCCTATTAATTTGTCATTTTCTCTCGCAGTCGCACTCCAATTATGGGAAATTGAATATGAGATCGGTAATGGTTCGTTGTCCCAGCCAAAAATCCAAAACGGTACGATTTTTATATCAAGGGAGGCCAATTTTCATACAACTGTAACCCTGTACTAAGGTTTGCAACCCTCCCATACATTTTTAAATGGGGCGAGGGTTAAATGACTCATAATATTTGCAAAGAATTTGTATTATTTACTTAACCGTTTTTATTTTTTTAAAAATCGATCGATTACTTACAGCGCTTTAACATTTCGATGTTTAAAAATTAATAAAAGCTCAAAAAGGTACCGTTTTCGAGATACTGTCAGGAGGTAGTCAGGGATCACACTCTTGGACGGTAGTGTATTTTCAAGGTTTTTGAGGACAAAAAATACGTTAATTTATTTTTATACTAGAATTACTATTGTTTCCTTACTACGCGCGCCTCCTAAATATTGACCGTTAGAACTGGCCACTATCTTCATATCGGTACTTAGCAGGTTTGTAGAGCAAGTAAGTGGATTTTAAGTGTCAGCACTGAGGTCTTGTAGGAAGTTGTACCAAAAAAGGAATGATTTTGCCGACTGCGTGCCTGCGATTGTTATATATTTCATAATAATGTTAACCATATAGTAGTAGACGTGTGAATCATTTTAAAAAGTGGGTTTGCGCGTGTGGCGACGAACTTAATCTAGACTTACATCGCGACTGCACCAAGAGCGCTCCTGATTCATGGTCGAGTTTTGCCATGGAAAGTTTCTCAACTGAACTTCTCTGGCTTATAAATGTACTTAAATAATAGGGAAATAAATAGATGGATAGGTGTTGCAGGTGACGTGTGAAAAATTCGCTGAAGACGCCTACACAAGGTCGACGACTTTACCAATGGTCACTCAAACCAAGTCAAGGGTGTCTTCATTGACATTATACATTACATCGATTTCATTAAACGTGAAGGTCTTATTCCGATGTAATGTAAGCAATAGAAAAAAGAATAGTTATTCAAGAGCAAGTAGTGTTAGAAGCGGCTTTTGGAATGGCGTTTCATCAGTGCCTTTTTCTATTTAGTTTACTCTTATGCAACTGTCAGGCGCAGATTGCAAATTTATTTAATTCGGCCCGCGAAGTGTTCGCCAATGAAAGGATTTATGACCGAAACTTTCAATTAAACACCGAGTACGATTTTATAGTGGTTGGTGCGGGATCGGCAGGTTGTGTAGTGGCTAATAGGCTGAGCGAAAATTCAAAGTGGACAGTGTTACTTTTAGAAGCCGGAGGCGAAGAAAACTATTTCACGGATATTCCGTTGCTAGCCCCATTTCAATCGTCCACAAGGTTTAACTGGGACTTCGCCACGGAGCCGTCTAACAAACATTGTTTGAGTCTCAAAAATAAGAGATGTAATTTACCGCGAGGTAAAGCGATAGGAGGTACGTCCGTAATTAATTTTCTCTTGTACTCCCGTGGCAGTAAATTCGATTACAATCAATGGAGGGATTACGGCAACAGCGGATGGGGATACGATGACGTATTACCCTACTTTAAGAAATCGGAAAATTCTTCCCAGATAGTTAATCGGGATAGCAAGTATCGGGGAGATTTTGGACCTTTATGCGTTGAGCATTCTCCTTTCCGAACACCCTTAGTCGAGGCTTTTTTGAAATCGGGTCGTGATTTAGGATTTAAAATCGGAGATCCCAATGGACCTTCAATAATCGGATTTTCAAGGGCTCAAGCCACCATGAGAAGTGGAAGACGCTGTAGCGCTGCCAAAGCGTACCTACGACCGATTCTCAAACGATCAAATCTGTACATTTTGAGTAACGCTCGAGTTACGAAAATATTAATAAGTCAACGCCGGACTACTGGTGTCGAGTTCAAAATAAATCACACATTTTATAAAGTGTCAGCGAAAAAAGAGGTGATACTGTCGGCAGGTTCGATCAACACACCCCAATTATTAATGTTGTCAGGGGTTGGTCCACAAAAACACTTAAACAAGTTCAATATTTCAGTAATAAAAAATTTAAAAGTAGGCTATAATTTACAAGATCATGTCAGCCTGCCATATACTTTTCTCATAAACGATAGTGTGACGATATCAGATTTGGGAGTTCAAAATCCTTCAGATATACTAAATTATTGGTTAAATAGGAACGGCCCCCTAACCATCCCTGGAGGAGCGGAGGCTTTAGCATTCGTAAAAACAAAACTTAATAAACATTTGGGAGACTTTCCAGATTTGGAACTCGTCTTAGGTTCCGGTGGTTTTAACGGCGACCTTTTCGGAAGTCTGCGAAAAACGTTTAATTTTCCAAACAAATTATTCCGTGATATATATGGACCTATATTGTTTTCACCAGCGTTCAGCATCACTACCGTTTTATTACAACCAAAAAGTAGAGGAAGGGTAAGACTAAAAGATGGCAATTCGTTAAGTCAGCCTTCAATCGATCTGAACTACTTCGCTGATGAATTGGACCTCCATGTTATGGTTGAAGGATTTAAACATGTGAGTATTCCACCGTTTACTAATGGTTTAATAATAATTGTATTCTTGACCGCATTCGTACGCACGTGAGCAATTTCCAAATGTTCACAATATATTATACCTAATGTACACATAGTACACATACACAGCATGAATTTCAATCTAAGCTTTGAAATAATATTAACGAGTAACGACGCAATCGATATGTACGAGTATAAGAAACAAATAAGTGAATATTGACTTATTAATGTGGTACTATATACCCATGGTTGTATTAAATCACCATAAGGGCTAGTCGTTCATGTTCCATTTAAACTTGTCTGATAGATAACCAATCTCAAATGTGACCATTGCAATTAACTGTGAGAAAAATTTACCGCTAAGATAACGTGCCCTACAGTTTAGACCTGTAACTCATTAGCATTACATATAAAATTCAGCAAGTACTTAGCGCAACATAAACTTTTGCCCGAAGGGTATATCTGCACCAGTATAAATTATGCACAACACTTGTGCAGATAAATCGCATTTTTTTAAACCAAAGTAGCTTTGTAAATACTATAGTAGTTCCTATACAGGGTGACAATTTGAAAACTTACCACCCCCCATATCTTAGTAAATAAACAAGATATTTAAAAAAATCAAAATCCGTTTCGGTAATTCGGAGGGGGAATCACAATGACATAGTTGGCGGCGCACCCCCTCCAACCCCCTGCGCCCCAGCCACCCCAACTTTTAAATCTTAAATAGTGACCCCCCATGTGTGATACGTCGTTGGAAAGCTCTGAAAAAATGCTTTCCAACCATACCAAATAGCATTACATTTAGGTTAGTAATTATCGTGCAAATCAAAAAATAAACATGGAAAATCGTATTTAACTTGAACTTCCAAAGCCGACTCGACAGCAACTCATTTTTGATCGCCAGTTATAATCTATTCTCAAACTTTTGTCGAACCTTTTCAAATGTTGGTTTTGCAATATTTCGACATTCTTGAATTATTCTCTGTCTTAGTTCGTCTATGTTCGCCGGTTGCGTTTTAAATACGACAGATTTCAAATGTATCATATTAGTTTATTTTTTGATTTGCACGATAATTACTAACCTAAATGTAATGCTATGTGGTATGGTTGGAAAGCATTTTTTCAGAGCTTTCCAACGACGTATCACACATGGGGGGTCACTATTTAAGATTTAAAAGTTGGGGTGGCTAGGGCGCAGGGGGTGTGAGGGGGTGCGTCGCCAACTATGTCATTGTGATTCCCCCTTCGAATTACCGAAACGGATTTTGATTTTTTTAAATATCTCGTTTATTTACTAAGATATGGGGGGTGGTAAGTTTTCAAATTGTCACCCTGTATAACTTATACAGTGAGTTTTTTTTAAATGCGAACATAGGAGTTTGCATGCAATGTAATTTCCCTATGTTCGATTTAAAAAAAAACACATCAATATATGAGATGTGCGCGGTTCACATTCCCAAAACGGGCAATTTGTGTGACTATGAACAGCAACTCATAGTCTTTATGATGAAGAACACTCGGTAAGATTCTTTTAATTAAGCCATGTGAGGCCATAGCAACTTTAGGATAAATTTTTCTTAAACTTACGATAACTTGACTTCACATGGCACGCGCTGACATCACAATTCATTGTGAACCAACCTTGAATTATTTGTAGGTCATGTGCACCTGGTATTCTACTAATTTGATCTATTCAATACATAAATGAAGAAAATAAGAAAATAAATAACGCAAACAATTACAATAAATGTTCGAAGTGTCCTCTTTGACATTCTAAGCAATAACCTAACCGATTTCGTAATTAAATTGGACGGAGGTATTTTTAAAAATGTGACAGCTGTCAATTGTATCTACTACTCATTTGAACTACTCAATAGATTGATGTGTTTTTTTTTAAAATCGAACATAGGGAAATTACATTGCATACAAACTCCTATGTTCGCATTTAAAAAAAATTCAGTGTATAAGGTAGTAGTATGCTATATTTAGCGATGTTTACTTTCTTACACTCTTTACACATAAACATTTAAAGGCCGCCTGGCTTACATTTAAAATCTAAGTATGCTATATTATGCAAGCCCTAAGAGAAATTCTCCGAAATATTGTGTTTCCCTACTCCAACATTTTCGAGATATCTACAATTAAGTTTTGGCATCGCCGGTAGAGGTATCTCGTGCGAAACACTCCGTTCTGATGCCGATATTTTCACTGAAAGTTTTGACATTACCAGTAGATATGTCTTGTCCTGACGTTCCACTTGCCCTTTATGAGTATTTTCTTCCGAAACCGTTTTCAAGATATTCTTTTCAAAAATTGATTCTTGAGATATGAATTATACCTATCCGATCACAGTAAGAGTTCGACGAGGAGACTATGGTTGAGAACTTTCATTAGAGTATACGATGAAGTATAAAACAAGTCCCCCTCTTTTGATAAGAGGTCACAAAGAAGGGCTGCAGTTGGTAGAAATTAATTAGAATACCATGATTCATGAAAGATCAAATTGGCATAAGTGGAAACGAAAGAGCTGTTCGGGCTGCAAAAGAATCCCTAAACATGGACCTGACTACTGAGTAAATGCAGCTACATACTGACCTGCAGAGCTGCCTAAGAGAGTCAATCATCAGTAAGTGGCAAAATGCTTGGAGCTTTTCCAACACCAAGTTATCCGAAATTCAGCCTACAATAATGACCACTAATCTACCCTCAATGCATAGGAAGAATACAGTCATAATTCGAAGGTTGAGGATTGGTCACACAAGGAAAACCCATGGATACCTTTTTGAAAATCAAGACCCTCCATATTGTGAATGCAAGGAGCCTTTGTCCGTGAACCACTTCCTCTCACAGTGTCCACTGCAATTGGAAATCCGAAGCAAATACCATATTGGAATGGACCTTAAAAAAGACCGCTCATTACCGAAAAGTATTAAAAACGTACTAAACTTTCTAAGAGATACAAACTTGTACAATTTTATATAATAGTCTAATAAGCGAAATATTATTAGAATACGTGCATTGTAAGTAAAGGTACTTGTAGACGTGCCAATGGCCACTAGTAGTCGAGGCACACAAATTAAATTTAAAAAAAATTAATTTCTCGGAAAGGAACGTTGAAAGACTATCGACACGAATGATTAACGTGTTTATTGATTAAAAATACAAATAAAGTAAATTGATAACAAATCTTGATTTGGTGATCGATACGGCACATGCACTAAATATTGGAATAAATATGTAAGAAATATGAGTGAAAGCACTTGTTGTTTCGAATTTGGTTTCTGAGAAGAAGGCGCAATAAACAAACGAAGGTGATAAGCGCAGATCAGATGGCGATGACGGTTGGCGTTGATTTCGTTTTTCTGGATAGCGACAGTGTAGATTAGGCGACTTAGCGACTATTCTGCTTTGGTAAAGCGCATATGCAGTGCAGGCTAATTCTGATTTCGGCGGATTATGCGCTGCACATAACAAGTGGAAATATTAAATATATACAGGGACAGGCGAAATAGTTATATACAGGGCGTGCTAAAGAAAATTTCTTTGAAAGAACTCTCAAAAGAATAACTTAAAAAAAACGAATTCTAGTTTGGGGACGCAACGCATACACACACCTAATATTGTGCGGACGAAGACAAGGTAAGTTCTAATGTGAACCCAAGTGCCTTCAAATTATAGTCCAAAAGACGTTGGGCCCAATTCTTTAATATGAATATTCTTTGGAATGTCTGGCTGCCCCCCACCCCCTAGGCCCCCCATAGAAACGTCCCTGGCAAGCACAGTTGGCGTACCAAAAGTCATAAAAAATAATCATATTTGCTTTTATGCACAATAAAATGGTGGAAAAATACCACTGCAAAAAAATTCAACAAATATCTTACGCCAACCCCAAACAAAAACTCTCTGACCCATTGTTCCAGCCAATAACAATACCTAATCGTAATTGATTTTAATTGTCACCTTCCTGCGAATAGTTGAAATATAAAATACATTAGAAACGTTACATAGTAACATAGCATCATACATTCACAACACCTCCCAGATACCCTAAATTGAATAAACACTCTGTATATTAATCTTAAATTAAAGCTATATATACCTATAAAAACTTCCACTTTACCTACCTATCAAAAACTACAATATGCCACACAGTGAATTAATAATAATAATCATATCTTCAATCTCCCCCTAAAAAATAATCAATGTACTTAACCCTTGAAATCAAATCAGGATAAAACAAGTATAAATTGTGCACAACTCCTGTGTAGATAAAGCGCATTTTTTAAACCTAAATAGCTTAGTAAATGATAGTGTTATTATAAAGTAGTAGCATGCTATCGAGATAGATGATTAATGGAGAGGGGGCTCTTTACACATAAACATTTAAAGGCCGCCTGGCATACATTAAAAATCCTCCGACACTCTATTCTGCCGACATTTTCATTGAAAGCTATGACATCACCACCATCATACCGTGAAAAATAAAACCAGTTCCACTTCCCCTCTCTCCACCCCCTCTTTTGATAAGGGGCCAGAAAGAAGAGCGGTAGTTGAGACTTTTAATTAGAATACTATGAAAGATTAAATTAATTTCTACCCCCCCCCCCCCCCTCCCAACCACCTACACTGAACTAACTCATATCTACGAAAACCCTCTTTAATGTGGCCATATGGTCCACATAGCCACGTATTCAGATCATTATGAGGTTAGAGTGACAAGGCCTCGGTTTCCTTTGCGATACAACTAAATATTAAATTAACTTTAGAAAGATACAGAAATCGTAAATTAGATAATGAAAAGCATTATTTAATTACTCTAACACAAGTAATACAAAACAACCGCCCTTCATCCTATATGCTAATAGTAGGAGAGCTGGTGGAAATTTTTGGGTAAGTATTTGAGGCACGCTGAAAACTTGTCCACCGCTTCTCCAATAATACCCAAACACAGAAATGCACACCTGGAGAAGCGGAGCGGAGAATGTATGCCCAGTCGAGTATCTGAATGCGTAAGAAGTAGTAGATGATCTATATCATGGCCTAATAATTTGGCCATGATCTATACATTATTAGTGTCGTCTGAATTAGTTGTAATTGTATCATGTTGAAATTTTCATCGTTTCTTATGCCGAAATAAAGACAATTATTTCTCTTGAAACTTTCGTCAAAAGTGATCAAAGTACACTAGGTGTTCATGTATTTATTGCGGCCAGTCGTAGCCTACCGATAGAACTAGCCGTGACACTCATCCCCACTATTGCGTTGACGTCACAACTGACGGCGGCCGTCATATCGACTTTTAATGTAATTATTCCAAGTAGGTTTTATGTTATAGTTATTTGTGTACCAAGGCCATAAAAGTGATCTTTTTTGGCCGAAGCTGCTGTTTGTGGCCGAGGCGGTAGCCGAGGCCGCAATTCAGATGATGCCTAACAAATCACTGTTGGCCAAGGTGCACACAACATTTTTTAGGCGATCATCAAAAAAGAATTCAAAAATTTGCTCATAAACATATTTTTTAATGTTGTATACTTAAATTAACTGTATTCGAACAAAATAAGTAAGAAAATGCCAAATACATGCTGCGTCCCTGGTTCAAAAGCACTTATAGTTCAAGAGACAAGGTTACGGTTTTTCGTTTTCCGAAATATGAAGACAAACAAAAAAAGTGGTTAAGATGTATTCACCGGGACAATTTCGAAATTACTAGTTACTCGAGGGTTTGTATAAAGCGTTTCTCCGACATTTTCATTATTCGGGTAGACAAGATGACTAGACAAGACGGTACAGTATTAACAGTTCCACGAGACCAACTGAAACTTGCCGAAGACGCGTATCCCACCATTTTTGAAAATCAGCCATCATATATGAAAAGGATGTAAATGATGAGTAACGGGAAAATATAGACCTTAGCAACTACAAATGACCGAAAACCCGTAGTCTCTAGGTGGTCCAGGGTCCGAGATCTCGATGGAACAGACAGATAGGCAGACGACGGAAAGTCGAGCACATAAGCGTTACCTCAACTTCGTTGTGTACGCTAAAAAAGGCAGATGTGTGTAGAATGTTTAAATTTTATTTGTTTTCAGTGAGTATTTGTTATTATGTACGTATTTAATCAAAGTTTTTGCATAGGTAATTACACGTGTTTATAATTAGGAAAAAACATATAACAATCCTGCGGCTCAAAATAAGGTATTCTAATTACTAAATGTTTTCGCGTTAAATGAGTACGCGCGCGAATCAAATTGCATTTAAACACCTAGTATCGCGTTGCAGTGGCCCATCTCCAGTTGTGACGTCACTAAATTAATGTCACGGCTACTATCGGTAGGCTACGGGCCAGTATACACTTCAAATCCCTTGGTCCTGCGACATTGATTTGTCAATCAATTTCAGACAAGATTTTTTATCGATTTCGCATACTTGATAGTTGTTGCAGCGTTCTAGCGTATGTGTGCGTATGTCTGAAATTGATTCACAAATCAATGACATTATTTTTTACAAACTTTGAAGGCCCCTGGCAAAGTGTTAGCCCCGCCACTCCTCAGTCAGGTCTACATTTCTGTGTTTGGGGATTCTTGGAGAAGTGCTGGACAAGTTTTCAGCGCGCCTCAAATACCTACCCAAAAATGTCTACCAGCTCTCAGACTGTAATTACAGTAAGTATTTACAAAGTAAAGAAATGTGTGAACAAATATAGCAAACGATCTCATTAGTATGGCTATAGCTTGGCATTGCACATTATATGGCTAAAGCTATGCTCCTTTTGAATTTCATGCAATTCGGGTCACAACTAATGTCACTAACGATGTCAAAAGGGCCTACCTTATTTTGTGTATGACCTACATTGCCCATTAACGAACTCCGATCTACAAATTTGATAAAGAATCCTCCTACAAAATTCGAAATCGCCCAACTACGTAATTCAAAGTGATCTCAATATTGAATCAGTGCGGGAAGTTATAAAGAATTGTTCTGTGAAATATCAAGACAGATCTCTGTACATCCTAACATCCTAGCCACTCCAGTTTATAGACAATCGCGATGAAATTAGGAGACTAATGCCCGTTTGCACCGACAAATTTAAGCAGAGCTTAGCTTAAGCGTAGCTTAAAATCCATGGCAACCATTGTCTCAATAACCGTTGCCATGGATTTTAAGCTACGCTTAAGCTAAGCTGCACTTTATGTATGTAGGTACTTTGATCAACATGAAAATTAGAATACTTACATAATCAAACAGTCTGTCCAATTCTGTAACTAACAAGTTTGCAATATTGCTAACTATAGCAAGATTGCTCACACAAAATTCTAGCAATATTATGAGCAATAATAACAAATTTGTCATTCTCTAACTACCAACTTGAGCGTGTGAAATACACGTGCTAAGACTTAACAAACAGTAAGTACTTTATCTATTGCTAGGGTCAAGCAATTGAATTATTAAAATTTTAGGCAACATTGCTAAGTTTGTCAGTACAAAATACCACTTTTAACAGATATTGCTCATCTAGCAATTACCTTCACTATTAGCAAGTTGCTAAGATTATTTTAAGTTACAGTTATAAATATTAATTTATAAGTAAGAGAGTTTTCAATGGATTGCTCTCGGCATGTCGTAGTTAATTTAGTGCGCTATTTATTACAAAATTTACTTATTGTTCATCTGGAACAGATTGTAAATATGCAATAAAAATTTAAAAATAGAAAAATAAAAAAAAAATTCGTTTTCGAGATATCGTGTTAGTGTAGATATCGGACCGACACCGCAAAATTCTGAACTCACTAGGAGCTCGTTAATAAAGGCTATATTTATTATTTACCCTAATTTGTGAACAAACACATGAGCACCAACGAGGTAATATCTCGTTGCATATCACAAAGAAGATATTTATACGTTCTGCCTCCTCAGTTAAAACTTTTCTACCGTCCTTCTCTCGAATGACGCGGTTTCACTTATGACCCCTCGTCCTTGTGCAATTTGAATTAATGTATTTCCCGGTAAACCATTTTCCAGTGGCGTAGCATGGGTTTTTCTCCTTTAATGAAAATCATAAAAGCGGGAAATAAATCTTTACAAAATGTTTTGTTTGAGGGCTACACCTCAAAGAATCCCAAAAGTTGCGTCCCTTTTACCGTTTAGGAGTATGAATATACATTTTACTTCAATTCCTGAATCAACAGTGTTTGTGAGTACCTATATTAGTTGTGTAGTAAATATTAGGTAGACCGTACACGAGTAGGTAATAGTTATCATTGACCATATTTTTGAGGAGGGTTTGACGAAAGTAAATCTAGATATTTTCAAATCCAGTCGTCAATATCGAAAATTGGTCAAGAATATTGACAAAGATGTTAAATTTTATCCGTTTACATCAATGTTATTGCCAATATACAGTTAAAAGGACGAGGGGAGTTCCTGTTCCGCGCTCCCGCGGCTCACCAGATGCGTTCAAAGTGTTCCAGTTACTAGAAAACGAAGGGTGAAACCAAACCGTTCCTCAACTGATGTAAATGGTGTTCAAGTTGGGCACTTTCTTATGGAAACACCCTTTATTTTAAGAGATGGACTTAGGTGTCTGCGGAACAATTTTAAAGAGAAAATCACTGGCGCAAACATAATTCAGCTATGTCTTTATATTCAAAGGCTATGTCTAATTGTTTGGCCGCTAGGAGGCGTTTTCGAATTTAGTTGATTTCTCTAATGCCCTATAACTTAATTGATTTTGGCAAAATCTTTCTTAGATCACTTTTTTGTGTAGAATCCATTGAATACACAATTTTTATATAGGGTCTTTTTTATACGACCCTAAACTAAATATAGTTTCATACATCTAGATGTGCTACGGTTATAGAAAATAAAACTTAAAAATACACGCAAATTTTAAGGCCTCCGGGTTGGAACAACTGTAACTAAAGCCTTTGTGCTGTTACAACGAATAACTTGTACCTCGTCTATCCGAAATAACGCACGAAAACCTTATTGGACTTTATTTCTCAGAAATTTCCGACACTGTTTAGAGACTTTTTTTTATTGTTTCAGGCGAAACTGATCGGCGAATCGAAACAATTCAGAAAATACAACTCCACTTTCCACACATTTACAATTCCTGCCTGTACCCATTTACCCAAACTATCTGACAAGCACACAGCTTGTTTAGTCAGAAACTTAGCTACAACTCTGGGTCACCAAGTGGGAACCTGCAAGATGGGACCAGCAAACGATCCGGATGCCGTGGTGGATGCGGAACTGAAGGTCTATGGGATAAGAGGTCTACGTGTGATTGATGGTTCTATAATGCCCAATATAATTGCCGGTCATCCTAATTCGGTCATTATGATGATTGCCGAAAAGGGGTCTGATATCATTAAAGATGCTTGGAAATAAATTTTCGTTATTAAATGTAACTTTTTTTATGTATTTATCTTAATTTTAATTCCAGTACAGAATCATTGCAATTAATAGATACCCAACCTAGGGTTATGGTGAGTGCAGTCGGCGGCATGGTGACTGTTGTAACTTTCATTGATTATAAACTTCCACGGCTTAAATGAGCATTGCCATTGCCAGTTTCTGGTAATGACGAAGGACAATTTCCTACAAACCTCGTAGATAGAGTACAAAGTTGCGGTTTTAACGGTGAACGTTGCATTGTTCAGAAATTCCTTGTCCAAAGAAATACACAACAACGTTAGTAGCAGCATTGAATAAAAAATTAAGTTTATTCAATGGCAGCAGTCAATTTGTCGGTGACTTACGTATGGAATCGGTTTTATGAGAAAGGCTGGTTACACTACTATATAGACGGTTCGTTGATTAAGGCAGTACTAGGGAAATTTAAGACGTTTGCATTTGGTTTTAAATTTGGAACGTGTATTTACGAACCAAGTACATTTAGAATCTTCTGAAATTTGAACAGGCCGAGTATGTGATTTAAAAATTGTTTGTGAAAATAAATGCTATATACAATTTTGTTTATAAATCTAGTGTTTGTGCCCTTTTGAGGTCATTTTCAGTGACGAATAGGGGGCTGACAGTCTCATTGATTTTTTAAAGTGTTAATTAGCCCTAACAGTTCTGCGTGATATTTCAGTATTTTGTGTGGCTGTGAGTCATGCTGGGCGACTACTATAAGTAGTTGCACACTTGCACTGCAATAGATCTCGATCCCGGCATCCTTATCTAACATTGTTAACACGCCAATTTAATATACCTGTACCCGTACCTAAGCTATAAAATAATAGAAACTTATTTTTTGGGATATTACGAGTCGACACATACAGCACCTTGGTTGACATCCAATGCGTAAACGATCCACATTAGCTTGTTTCCTTACTTCAAAGCAGTTAATCTAGCGTCGTCTTTGATAAGTTCACACTCTATGTTATTATGGTTTTTGAGTTCTACATTAACAATAGCTGGATAAATTAATCACTGTGCGATGACAATGCAGAAAATATTATGTAATAAGAACAGCCTCGTTCTTATTGATCAAACTTCTTCTTGTGTTCAAAGTTTGTGTAATACAGATATAAAACAGCCAACCAGCACCTTATCAAGATATGAAATTAAATTTGGTGAGCTTCTATTTGACAACGTGTATCCTCATAAATACCTTTACGACAACTGGATCCGATATGACTGGTGGTAATATTGGTAGAGCAATGTAAGATCCGTAGGTACCTTTCAATCGCATTTTAGGAGAACTCAACTTTACGTGCTCTTCTGTAGATGACTGTAGGAATTTCGGGTACATATGTAAGGAAAATTTGTGCCAGTGTCAAGAACGATATGTTGCAAATGAAATTAAGAAAACATGCGTTGGAGGTTAGTATTTCAAAGTTTGTTAGGACCCTCTGGTATGATTCTTCTTAAACAGGAATTGGTGAAAAGTGTTTATACGACGAGCATTGCATCGACGCCGCTTATTGTATGAATCAATCGATCTGTAAATGTAAAACTACCCGACCCTTTGTTACTAACAATGGACTTCTTTGCTCCGGTAGCTAAAGTAGGTACTGTAATATTTTTTAATTATCAGATTTTTAGCTGCTGGGAATATTCAAGCATCGATCATCAAGAATCAAGTATCCATTTTTGGATTACATATGTTAACTATACTTTTCAATGGTTTTTAGGAATACTGTAGATTGAAACATGCGCAGTAGACATGTAACATAAGGCATTATGGTCAATATATATGTTCAAAAGTTCATAGCAGATATACCTATTGTCTTTTACAAGAACGAAGTTGATACGGTGATCTCCGTTATAAAAAATGTAGGTAAGCCTATGCCAACTGAAGGCAATTGCAAGTGTAAGCTATCGCCCCTAATTATGTCGTCGACTAATAAGAGCTGGGAATGAAGAATGTCGGCAGAGTCGGCCCGTGTGGCGCAGTTGAGTGAAGCTCGGTTGCGATACTAAGGGTTCCTGGTTCGAATCCGGGTTCGGGCATGGATATTTGTAAATGTAGAGTGGGTTGGGTTGGTAGATTAGTCTTGGTTGAACCCAGCCCACTCAAAAATATAGGCAAGAATAAAAAATAAAATAAAAAAATTAATAAGAATGCAACTGGCGGCCGGCGGGTGGCTTTATATGTACATAGTTTAAATTTATACGTTCGCAAATTAAAAATATCTGTTTACTTGTAACGGCGAAATTCATGTTAACTGTCTTAATAATGGTTGAGGGAGGAAGATAGAAAAGTGTTAACTGGGGCGGCAGAACGTATAGATAGCTTTTGGTTATATGCAACTAGATATTACCTCGTTGGCGGTATGTGTTTGTTCACAAATTAGGTATACTAATTATAGGTAAATGTAGCCTTTATTAACGAGCCCCTAGTGAGTTCAACCGCCGCCGGTCCGATATCTACACTAACACGATATCTCGAAAACGAATGGCCCGATTACACCGCCAATTTAAATCCTTTAATATTTGTTGATTGCTGTGATCTTTCTTAAAACCGCGCGATGGAACTTGGGCGGTGATAAAAATGGCTATTGCGATCAACATTAAAGGCCCCGTGAAGTAAAAAATTTAAATTTACAAGAAAAAAACAATAAATAGTTATCCCCACAAAAACAAGTACAAAAAAAATCCGAACTTTCTACGTTCAGTAGATCGCTCGTAATACACGTTTAAAATTCCGTCACAAATCACAATTCCGTCGACTGATTCGGTGACGTCACCGCTCCATGTTGAATACGCAGGTCCTACATAGCGCACCTTTACTAACTCTGCAGTCGTGAATGCACAGCGATTTTAATCGATCTTTTTGTTAAACTGAAGTCTCAAGTTTGTGCTTCTTACAAAAAAATTATGGAAGGAATTAACCCTTATCAGTTTCTCGTTACTCGTGAGCGACAAGAATTCGCGTTTAGAAAACGCTTGCTTTTCCCCTTTTAAATACAAGGAAGGAACCGCGGTCTTTTTTAGTACATTTCTAATTTTGCAGTCGGTCAATTTACTTTGTAAAACAGGGCCTGGTTAATCTCCACTGGCAAAATGTACGGAACAAACTACAGCGCTTTTAGTCGGTTCAAATTTAACCCGATTTATCCTCTTTGCCCATGATTGAAAAGGTAAGGGCGATTTCTCACGACTAGGAAATTTATGGACACTTATTCCTACAGTTTGATTAGTAGAATTTCTACATTTATAAGCACAACACCGTGTCATTTTAGTACAAGCACAGATAATCTGTGGTACAACGTAATATCACAGATTTAAATTATATTTAAATCTGTGGTAATATCTCGTTAGACAGATCATACGCAACTGCAAATGTATATATAAATAAATAATAGCCGGTAGGCGGTAAGTGTTGGAGCGGTGACGTCACCGCATTCGTAGTAAATATTTAAACCCCTGTAACTAGGAAACGGGACATGACACTGACACCGGATTTTTGTTGTTGCGTTTCTAAGAATATTATCTTTAGTTTCAATTCAATGTAGTCAAAATTTATGCTTCACTGGGGGCCTTTAAGTTAGAATTCCTCCTTTTCCCTCTCTATCTCTAATTTTCTATAAAATGTAGTTGCCCAGTAAAAAAATCAAAATGGAATTACAGTATTAAAAAAAGGAAATGTCGGATGTCGCTATAATAGACACAGCCGAAGGCTTAAAAATCTTGGTTATAATCCGAGTAGTTTTGAAGTTAATTAAGATCGGTCATGTTAGGGTAGCTATTTTTGTAACAAATAGGGGCCATTACCGAAAAAGAGTAATTTTTTAAATGAATGATATTAGTTATATTTAACCTTATAAATGAATATTAAATTTTCAGTTCGTATTTCGCTAAAATAGTAAAATTTATACACAAAACTTAAACTATAAATAGATTGAGTTATATATTTACCTATAACCCTGCCCTAATTTTTGATAAAAATGAGCTAGCCGATTGGCAATAAAATTTTACTCATATTATAGTAGGGGAGCTAGCACGAAATCCACTGAACAAGAATGATCAAAATTTTAACCGATGGAGTTCCATTTTGCCCTATCAGAGTATGCTAAAATCGATCGTCTGCCGCCTCAGATCATACGACTTAAGGCGCTGCGGGTACTTCTTGCGGTACCAATTCTGAAAGGTTGTTTTTCGAGAAAATAAGTTATACACCAAATGAAAACGTTGATAATAGCTCTTAAAAAAATATTTAAAAAATCGCGCACATTAGATAAGCCCGTAAAAAAACAATTCTTAGTCGGTTTTTCACGAACTTTCTACGGATATAACTAGGTTACCATTGGAAGAATGAAGCTGATTTTCTCGAAAAACAACCTTTCAGAATTGGTACCGCAAGAAGTACCCGCAGCGCCGTATGACCTGAGGCGGCAGACGATCGATTTTAGCATACTCTGATATAGTGGAGCGAAATCGGGCAAAAAAGTCGTCTAGAAATGGGAAAAAAATTTTTGAAGGTATAACAAGATCAGACCTAGTAGAGTATGTAGATATTGTAATTCTGCATCCGAAATGGTCTTTTACGACATTTTCCGGTGGTCATGAATGACATTTTTTATAGTCAAAAAACCACTCAAAAGTGTCTTCATAAAAATTTATGTTTTTAGAGATTTACCCCGGAATATCTCGGCTCCCGCAGGAGATATTGTTATAATTGTTTCAGTTCTATAATGCCAAATAGTAAGGGCTTCTAACTATGCCCATTACATCGAAAACATGATATAACTACATGCTCATAATTGCCATCAAATTCGATAAATCGATTATTGAGAAGCGTAAACTTCACTCTGCGAGAAACTTTTTTATTAATTGAGGAATGTCTATACATGTATCGTACGAATTGTAGCTGATAGTCACCAAAAGTTTTTGGTGAAAGAATTTTAGTGATAGGTCTTACCGTTTTCGAGTAAATGATATTTCTATATGCAGCTCGTGCACGTCCGCGGTCCGCCTAGCAGCGCACTTGCTTGGCTGCTATCGGCGCCGGCCGGATAGCGGGCTTGTCACCTGTAGTGGAGCGAAATCATGCCAAAAACTATAATGCCAAATGGGAAAACGGAGCTGTTCTGCATATTATAGATATTGAAAACATAATGTAACTACATTATCAGAAAAAAATACGAAAGTCGATAAATCAATTATTGTGCGGGAAATTTTTTTGAATTATTTTTGGCAATACTTCTAGTGTTACAGTTTCTGTGAGCACAGTAAAGGTGGCTCCACACGCAACGGAAAAACCGAAGGCATGCCTCGTGGCGACGGGCCTTGAGGCGAACCTAAATTATAGGGGGTCTCCACACATTACGGAATATACGAAGGCCAGCCTTAAGGCACGCCAGTTTCGCGCAAAAATGACGTCGACAGATAACGTTCTTCCTGTTGTTGGATTATTGTTAGCTGTCGAAAGTAATAAAAAAAAGAGTGAAGCGAAAGTTCTGGACTAAAGACTGGTTACAGAAAAGGAAATGTTACTTCCATGTAAATTTATTAAAAGACCTGAGGTTCAGTCCGAAAGATTGGCACAATTATTTGCGGATGGATGAGGACACATACTTAAGGCTCTTATCATTGGTGACGTCGATCATTTACAAAAAGGACACCATAATGAGGACCACAATTACACCTCATGAAAGATTGAGCGCAACATTACGATTTCTGGCTATAAATTCCTCTTGTTTTTGCTTTGCACGGGCCATGACTATATGAAAACTTGATGCAACGGACCTCTTTTCACACAAAACTACACCGTGTGTCAATATGACATTAAACAAAATATATATTTCATATGGAAACTCATATTTCTTCTTAAAAATTGTGTAATTTTAAATGTGTCTATGGCCAGGTTTGGTGGTTGACACACGGGATACGTATAGGGTATAACGGAATCGCCTCAAGGCCTACCTCCCACCCATCCACACAATACGGTCGGCCTTGGGGCGCTATAAATGAAGAGGCAAATCGAATGAGATTTTGTATTGAAATTTCCGGCCTCCAGGCTTCAGATGCGCAGGAAAACCTCAACAGAATTCTCCATACACACATAGAGGTTTTCCTTGAGGTCTTGCGCCTCGAGGCATGCCTTCGGTTTTTCCGTTGCGTGTGGAGCCGCCTTAAAATGGACAGGTATCCAAATATTACCTACACATGGACCATCCAACATCTTCGATGTTGTCGAGTGTTGGTTTGCATTGTTTCCTGCGGTACCACACGTTTAATTGGTAAAAGTATGTGTTACGGTGAAAGTAATTAATGTTATTATGATAAATTAAGGGTTCATTTCCTTTTTAAACTTTAGGGGAAGGGAAACTACTGCCATTTAGGAAACTAAGGAAACTACGAAGATATTGAATTAAAAAAAAATCATTCTGGAGGCTGTTCAACAAATTTTCCTACTTCAATTATCACAGTCACGGGTCACCGGTTATTATGAATAACTCCCGCATTCATTTTCACCGTACCATGTGCATCTAGAATTTTATCGAATGAAATTTTGAACCGCCTGTCTGTTGGGAATTCATGCTCAAACGGGTTGTGACACAACGAATGTCCTTATTCAAAATACGCGAGAAAATTGCGGTTGATGTACTAACATCCAATATTGCTACAAAAGATATACCCAAATTAGTTGAACTGCTACAAAAAGAAGCCTTAGAATTACTAAGACGATATATACTCGTACTATACTGGTTTACCGGAATAAAAATAAAAATATTACAACATTGAATCACCCAAGATTGCATTTAGCAAAAACAACTAATAAACAATCGTCGGAACATCGGAACTTCTGTAATGGTACTTTCTTACAGTATTTTTTTAAGGTGTGTACTTGTAAACTTTCGATTTAGACCAAATGTGTTATGTCAACAATACACTCAGTAAAGTTCTAGATCCATATACCAATTAAATGTGTGGTACCACTGCAAACAATGCAAACCAATACTAGATAAAATGGGAGGTTTTGGGTCCATGGAAAAGAATATTTGGATATCATTTTACTGTGGAAGCAGTCCCGAAGCAAAAAAACGAACTTCCAATAATTCAAAAAAATTTCCCGCAGTTTCCCGTAGTGAAGTTTATGTTGCACAATAATTGATTTATCGACTTTCGTATTTTTTTCTGATAATGAAGTTACATTATGTTTTCAATATAATATGCAGAACATCTGCGCTTTCCATTTGGCATTATAGTTTTTGGCATGATTTCGCTCCACTACAGGTGACAAGCCCGCTATCCGGCCGGCGCCGATAGCAGCCAAGCAAGTGCGCTGCTAGGCGGACCACGGGCGCGCACGAGCTGCATATAGAAATATCATTTACTCGAAAACGGTAAGGCCTATCACTAAAATTCTTCCACCAAAAACTTTTGGTGACTATCAGCTACAATTCGTACGACATAGACATTCCTCAAATAATAAAAAAGTTTCTCGCAGAGTGAAGTTTACGCTTCTCAATAATCGATTTATCGACTTTGATGGCAATTATGAGCATGTTGTTATATCATGTTTTCGGTGTAATAGGCATAGTTAGAAGCGCTTACTATTTGGCATTATAGAACTGAAACAATTATAACAATATCTCATGCGGGAGCCGAGATATTCCGGGGTAAATCTCTAAAAACATAAATTTTTATGAAGACACTTTTGAGTGGTTTTTTGACTATAAAAAATGTCATGACCACCGGAAAATGTCGTAAAACGCCATTTCGGATGCAGAATTACAATATCTACATACTCTACTAGGTCTGATCTTGTTATACCTCGCAAAAAATTTTTGTCACATTTTTGGCCCGATTTCGCTCCACTAATAGGGCAAAATGGAACTCCATCGGTTAAAATTTTGATCATTCTCGTTCAGTGGATTTCGTGCTAGCTCCCCTACTATTAAGACATTGCAACCTTTTTCAAAATGTACGGAGTGTTTCAGGTCTGTTCCGATACATTTGACATGTGTGGTAGTGGTCATGTAACGTAAACGATGACAACATGTCTACTTCACTGTAAACGTACGCAGTGTAGACAATCTAAACTTCTAAAGCTTGAGCGAAACTGAAGAATCGCTAAAGAATTGGAATAATTTGAAAAGTCTAAACAAACGAACTAAAATCCAAAGAATATGAACGACCGTATAGATCGGAAGGATCAGAAGAAATCCGAATAAGCTGAAAAATCCGATTCATTCGAATCGTTTGAAGAATCTGAAAAAAAGGTTTGAAAACTAGAAGAACCTCAAAAGAAAAATACGAATCTAGGGAATTTTGAAGAAGTGGGAAGAATCTACAGGATTTTAAGAATGTGATGAATTTGAAAAATTTATAGAATCGGACGAATTCGAAAAAACGGAATATGCAAAGAACCTAAGGAGACGAAACGGAGGAATCCACAAAGTCTAAAATTTTAAGAAGTGTGTAAAAAATTAGGCAAATGAAGAATTCAAACATATCAATGAACCAATAAGAAGAATTGATAGATTTCGAAGGAATGATAAACTTAAAAGAATTTCAAGAATTGGAATAATCTAAAGAATGATGAATTGATGAATTTGAAGAAACTGGAGAATCCAAAGAATCTGAAAAGTATATCAATAATTCGAAGAAATAAGAGAAAGTGAATAATCTGGCTACTATGGCCAAAGACAAACCTCTTCAGGTAGGGTTATAGTGTGTATTGCAGAATGGGGACGAGCAGTGTCTTGTCGGAAAAATAGATTTATTAGCTTCTGAATAAATACAAGAATGTAAAGTTTTACCACCTCGTCACCATACCGCTGGAGACTGGGCGTGCAGAATGCCTCAAATGAATACCAAATGAAACCTAATTTTTCTTTCTCACCCTGACACGACCATTTTCCCTTCCCAAACAGAAGTTAGATCAATCATTAAACACCAATGCGTAACACTCTCAGGTCCCAGTTCATTTACAACCAACTCCACGAGGGATAAGTGGTAAGTCAATAGATATAATGCCACCGATAGGATTGCACGCTAAAACTTCTGATTTGACGGTAAACTGTTGGTCTGCAGTTAGTCTGGTACTGAAGACTCAGTCTTACTATACCATTCAGTCGTAGTCCCATTTGTACGTCCAATTCTGTTTCTATAGGACGTTGTTGGATCTCCCTACTATTATAATTTCTCAGAATTAATTTACGCAAGCAAACAATTTCACTGTAGGCAGTAATACTCACGCTATCGTGCCACTTGGTCTACTTGGATTAAATATTAGTCAGTTACCAAAACGCCTGGGGCAAGTTTTGGTCAAAAACGTTTTCTCTGTATTACAATTTCCATATCACTTATGTTAGTATATATCTAGGTCTCCCGATTTTCGCAATGTATATGTTACCTACTTATATTTGTAAGTGTCATCAACTCTGATAAGTGATAAGTATTCCAAAATATATCATGAGTCAGTAATCGAAATTATCTAAGTTAGGTAAATACTGTTATCATAGTTTCGACTACCTACCATTCGTGCAGGTTGAATCACAACGTGACCTTTTTCAAATTATTAAACACTTCTACGTTCACCAATTATTGCAAAATGAAAGTGACTAGTGAAATTGCTATTATTCTAGTATTAACATTATTGTGTCTGTCGTGCGGTTCATCTACTAAAGTTCAAGAACGAATATGTAAACATGAATTGACAATATTACATGGGTGTAACTTTACCTATGTTTTAGTGTCCTTTTACACTTGCAAATACGACATCGACTGCGTTGAAAATGCCTTTTGTTACTGGAGGGCTCCAGAGGGAGGAAAATGCCGTTGTAAAGAAAATTTTGTGCTGGTGCAAAATAAGACGAGCTTCGAGTGTTTGGCGGGTAGCTAGCAAACTGATCAGACAGTCCTAGTTCCTTAGTACTTAATTAACCCTTTCTACAGTTGCTACTGGAATTGATTCGCCTTGTATAGAAAACATTCAATGCGAAATGTCACTTGGTAATTTAGCCGAATGCAACGCGAGTAGTAATAAATGCCAATGCATTGACGTAGCTCATTTGGGAAGAGACGATAAATGCCACAGAACGATCGGTACCATAGTCACCTTCTGCCAGATAGATTTTTGACTATAATTTTAGCATTGGGGGGAATATGCGAAACCAATGACAATTGTCTTTTGGGAGACGAGTCCTATGGATTTTGTTACGTTGGCAAGTGCATCTGTAATGTTAAATATCACATTTCTTCAGATGGGAAACGTTGTATACCTTCGTCGTTTCTTCAGCAGTCGTGCGAATCGGCAGAATCGTGCGCAGTGACCGCATTTTCTGATTGCTATGGTGGAATTTGCAAGTGTATTGAAGGGTACATTGAAGCGGAAGATTTTGAAAGCTGCTTAAAAGGTTGGTATCCCTCCTACCAGTTGTTATCTACATATATGTTCTAGCTGCAAGTGCTGTGGGAGATAACTGCACGCAAACAATTCAATGCAGCGAGTATATTAAGGGTTCTTTCTGTGACAATAATAAATGTACTTGTAAAACTGGTTACCATGGCTATGGTAACGAATGCACAGTTGATGCTAAATTGGGAGAAGCTTGTAAAGAAGATAAGGAGTGCATTCTAACCGCGAATCTTGAAAATTCAGTACGATGTACTCTTGGAGTTTGCACATGCGTTGTGGGTCTTTCAAGTCAAGAGCCTTACGGTTGTGTTATAAATTCTGCTGTACTGAAACAATATTACCCTTCGCTGATCATGGGGTTGATACTCGCATTGTTTTTAATTAACCCTCATTAAAAATTTAATGGTGATAGTTTTTTTCAATTGTTCATTTACTTACATAAATTCTTGTCGTTACAGCGATCACAGCAATAACAAAGACGAAAATATAATCAATCAGTCCTTGATATCTTGGTATGGACACTGGACATGCAGGTGTCTGTCTCATTTTGGGAAAGCACACCAACTGTGCACTTGTTTCAGTAAGATGCAAATCACACTAAACTTTTAAATTTACATTGTATAGTATGGATAGGGTACCGTAGGTACCAATGACGGTCATGTTAATAGCGCCTAGTTTGAACCTTTTATGCTATCCGTTGATATGTTGTGAGTGTGGTCGTTAGATGTAGAAAATTGAAAGTGTCACTTTAGAATCACACGCTTGAATAATATGTAGGGGGTAGATTGTGTTAAGTTTGTACTGGTTTTTACCACACCGAAATTGCCCGCAAGGCCGCAACCGCAAAGGAATGTGTTTTGAACCTTTTGCAGTGTTTGTGCGTTTTTTTCTTCTCATCGGAGTCGTAAAATATGGCGTTCGTTTGGTCTACTAAGGTTCAAGCTTTCACGCTAACAGGCGATCGAAAATGAATAGCTGTGGAGTCGCCTTTGGAATTACAAGTTTAGTACGATTTCCCATGTAAACAAAAATTCCAGAGGTGACTCGACAGCAACTCATTTTTGATCGCATAGTAGGTATATATATTGTATACAGTCGAAAGGTGTGAATAGAAGTCCTGCCAAAGGATAACAAAAAAAATACTTTCGCCCCAAGGCGAGTAACTTTAGCGCAGTCTTAGGAAAGTTACATTTTGATTGTCCTTTATTTATTTTTTATTTGCGAAAATCTAATGCGAGGCAATGACAAAAAAATTGGAAAGTGGAAAATACAGTCCAGGAAATGGAGAGTTTTACATTGCATTAAATCGGGGAATGTATGAAATTTGGCATGTTAGTTCAGTCCTGAACAACATATTAAGATGGAGCAGCGATATACAGGGTACGGCAATGGAATGTGACACATTTTAACGCCCCACTGTCTAACATATGAATGGGTGGGGGAGTATGACTGATGTGTTTGTCATTATGTGTGCAGTTTAGTAGCTAATGGCGAATTGGCCGTAAATCAACGCGTCTTCGCCGTGATGGCTGTGAAACGAAGAAACGAAGTCTGTTATTACGGTCCAAAGACGATTTCGGGCTAAGTTTAGTATCCCAAGACGTGGCGGCATTCCATCGCGGAACATTATTTTGCAATGGTTTAAGAAGTGGAATGCGCATGGAACGAGATAGGTTTCCTGGTTCTTCCCGTAACGACCAGAAAAATTTGACATGAAAACTCGATTCGGGTCGCACAATGGGTTCGAATAAACACACAGCGAACAGCTGACCTCGAGGCGCAGTTATGAACCACGTCCGAGAAAATGAAAAATGTATAGTTTAATGGTGGACATTTAAATCAAAAATTTTTAAAAAATAATAAACTGTTAAAAACTGCATTCAATTAGTATTATTTTTCAGATTTTTACTTTTTTTTTACACCAAAACTTCTAATCACTAAAACGTCATATTCCACTGCCGGACTCTGTATTTAAATCACCTGATGTTTTTCTATATTGAAATTAATTTATTTATATTTTTACATAATTTAATAGCATTACTATGTACCGATTTTTGTTGATTTTTGAAATAAAAAAGTTATAAGCAACTACACGCAAGATAAAACGGATATATAAAAAAACAAACAAAAAGTTTAAGTTAGCCCTGGAGTGAGTTTAGACCGTGCATTCTGATGCAAAATTTGATTATTTAGTAAATATAAATAAACGTCTAAACAAATATAGAAAACGGGCTCCTGGGTATGGCTATAATGTATGTGTAAACCAAATTTTGCACCTGGTGTTGGTTTTGCTCTTATTTCAAGTGTATAGGTATATGTATGTATATGAAATTTCATTTAATTGCTTCCATAAATAAGAAAATTTGCACTGCACATCATGTACACAACCAAATTTGGAAACTGGCGCTACATTTACTTTTATTCCAAGTGCCAATGTATCAAATTTTATTTAAATGCTTTCATAAATAAGAAAATTGGTACTGCGAATGCACAAAACCAAATTTGAAAACTGGCATTTTCTCTTATTCCAAGTGGCTATGTATCACATATTTCACATTTCATTTAAATCCCTCCATAAATAAGCAAGTTGGCATTGCGCAGCGCATGCACAAAACCAAATTTTGAAATTGGTGTTACATTTGCTTTTATTCCAAATGGCTAAGTACCAAATTTCATTTAAGTGCTTTCATAAATAAAAAACTTTGCAATTCGGTTTATAAATGGTCGAGATGCGAAAAGCGCACTGAGAATGTTGATCAATTAGGCTCAACTTTGGATATTGAATTTCATGCAATTCGGTTCATAAATCACGGAGATGTCAAAAGAGCTTTCTTTATTTTTTGGCTACATTGCGAATTCCCGAACTCCGACCTACAAATTTGATAAAAAATCCATCTACTAAATTTCATCGTAATCGGTCCATTGGTTATCGAGATATCGTGCTAACGGAAGGACGGACAAACGGACAGACGAATAGACACCGCAAAATTATAAACTCGCTAGGCCTAGGGGCTCGTTAATAAGTAGACCTAGCTATGTGAGACATCAAGGGGCAAGGAAAATTATTTATTTGTTTTATACTTGGGATTTGCATGTAAGCGCAGTTTTAAATCTAACTTTCATGAGTGACGAAGCGTGGGCCCATTTATCAACATATGTCAATAGTCAAAACCTGAAACCATCGCATGTGGCTAACTGAAAACCCCCATAATTTTGAAGAAACCAGCTTGCAGCAGGAGACGTATCATAGGTCCATTTGTTTTCAACTACACCGTTACTGCAGAAAAGTACCGTACTGAAATACCTACTGTACTGGATACGTTCATGAATCAACTTCATGATCACGAACTGAGACAAGGATATTTTCAGCAAGACGGTGCAGTAGCGCATACAGCAAATGTCACTCTTCAGTACCTACCTACATCAATTTTACGATAATCGTTTAATCAGTAGCGGTTTATGGCCTCCCCTTTTGGCCAGATTCATTAGATCACTAAACTTTTTTTTTCTGTTTCCCACATTAAAGAATAACATTATTTTTCGAACTCGCTTGCACACTCTTGAAGAACTTAAAAATGCGATCGCAGAAGAAGTGATGAACATCACACCGGCAATGTTAGAACGTGTATTTAAAAACATGACCCGGCGAGTGCAACTGAAAATGGCAGTGGACATTTTGAACAATCATTGTGATGAAGTGCTTAATTGTAAACTTGTGCTGTAAATTAATTAATTGTGATTATTTTTAGTTGCCCATTAAATTGCTCTACCACTGCTTTTCAATAAATGACATTTGGCGTGTTACCAATTTTTTTGTTTCCACGGATTTTCTGAGCGTGGCACAGTATCTGTCGTTTCAAAATTCCACCGAGATAAGCGAGATAGCGGCGGCTCTCCACTGCACTACGTCGCGTAATCGCCTGCCGACGATCAATCGCTCTAGTGATCGCTTGCTCGGCAGCCTTGAACAAATCAAACAATTTGCTCACGCCGCGCCGCCGCTTCAAAATTCGCTTCGCTGAACATCGCCGACGTAGGACACGACATGTGCGTCGCACAAAGACAATGCCATCAATGCCCAAAAATTGAGTACTATTTTGTGCCGGGTTTTTAGCGAAATCCACCAAAATGCGAATTGCGAGTGAAGGGGACGTCGGAACTGTGTACCGACAAAGACTAACCTGCGTAGCTCAGATGAGTTTACGTTAGTAGCTCTAGCTCTGGCTACAAGGGTCCTGGGTTCGAATCCCAGGTAAGGCATGGCTGTTTGTGATTGTATAGTGGGTTGAGTAGGGAGAATAGCTAATTAGCTAACACTCCGCCCACTATAAAATAAAGGCAATAAAAAAAAAAAGAGAATCTGGTAGCCCCCGATAAGATCTTACTGATGGCGGAATCAAAACTTCAAACGCGAATTGCGGCTGCACGGGAAGTGGGAAGCGGGTACCGACAAAGTGAATGCGGTAGCCTTCGATAAGATCTTATTGATGGTGAAGTCAATACTGGCTAATAAAACACTGATCTGCCACACAACTTTCCCAATAAACCTAAAATATATAAACAACAGTCGTGTACATATATGTGAATTTATTAATAACAATAGATGTCAATAGACTTTTTGTCCCTCTCTCCCTCGGGGAATTGGTACTAAATTTGCTTGATGTGATTTGAGTTATTGCGCCGTTATATACTTTGTGACAATTGATCTACGTAAAATTAGATCAGTGGAAATTTTCAATAACTGTTATACGTACAACGTACGAAAGGAAGGATTTACCTACTTACTTTGTTTTATAAGAAAGTATCTTGTACTGCGGTGAACGATTGGCGTTTAGTTCTACTTAGGTACAGATTCCTTGCGGTATTCCGATTCCGTTAGAAATGTGTGACTAATTTAATTGTTTTATTCGCAACATCTATAGTTATCAAATTAAACAAAATATGGGGATATCGCATACAAAATTTACGCCAAATGTTCGGCTAAACACAAAAACTGCAATTATAACCGGTGCAAATACGGGACTAGGAAAAGCCGTAGCAAGAGATTTTTATAAACGTGGTAATGTACAAACGAGTTGAGGTGCCACAAAAACTGAATTAATGTAACTTTTCAAAGGTGCAAGAGTGATAATGGCGTGTCGAAACATGGAGAAAGGAAATCAAGCCGCTAAAGACATAAAAATATCATGTACTGACGAAAAACTGGTAGGAGAACTTGTGCTAGCTGATCTTGATCTGAGCAGCCTGAAATCGATAAGAGACTGTGCTTGTAAATTGCTAAATGATGAAAAACGAATAAATATTTTAGTCAATAATGCTGGAGTGATGATGTGCCCCAAGTCCCAAACTAGTGATGGGTTCGAAACACAGTTGGGAACTAATCACTTAGGTCACTTCTTATTTACACTATTGCTTTTGCCAAGGATTATCAGCAGCGCGCCATCACGAATTATCAACGTTTCTTCAAAAGGTCATACGTGTAAGTAGATAAGTAAATTTATTATTTTCGAATTACTTATTAATTTCACGTTTATATCGCACTCGCACACCAAGTAAGCACCAAATACGATTTTGTATGCAATGTAATTTCCCTTTTTGAAAATAACGCATCAATCTATGTAGTGTGCGCGGTTCACATTCCGACCACCAAAACGCGCAACTTGCGTGACTATTATGAACAGCAACGGTTTCTATAGTCTTCATGATGAAGAGCACTCGATAGGATTTTTTTAAAGGCGCCATGTGAGGCCATAGCAACTTTGGGATAAATTTTTCTTAAACTTACCATAATTTGATCTCGCATGACACGGTCTGTCACCACAAGTCATTGTGACCCACCTTCAATTATTTGTAGGTCATGTGCACGGTGCACCTGGTATTCTACTAATTTGATCTATTCAATAATAAATGATGAAAATACGAAAATAAATAACGAAAATAACTACAATAAATGTTCAAAGTGAAGTGTCCTCCTTGACATTCTAACCAATTACTTAACCGATTTCGAAATTAAATTGGACGGCGCGGCGGGCGGTATTTTTAAAAATGTGACAGCTGTCAATTTCATCTACTACTCATTTGAACTACTCAATAGAAATTACATTGGATGCAAACTCCTATTAAATATTAAATTTAAAAAAATCAATAATTTGCATCACAATGATTTCGTAAATATTTGTAGTTGAAGAAGTCCAACTTTTTAATAGTACCATGAAATTGAATAATGCGATATCGACAATCTTGGTAATAAAAATGTAATATATTATAAATGAATATGGCATTAGCTATGGTCAAATGAACAACATTGTTCAATGAACTTCTGTGGAAGTACAAAAACTCCAAAAATGTTTGAAGATACAGGCGGTGTCAGTGATGCGAATAATATTAACCCTAACTGTATGTATAGTGTACATCGATAGCACAAAAAAGATTGAATGTTAAACAAAACATTATCAAAGTCCTCGTGTGAGATCGAAGGGACTTCAACGCATTTTTGTGTGGCAGATCAATGTTTTATTAGCCAGTGTTGACCCACCATCAATAAGATCTTGTCGAAGGCTACCACATTCACTTTGTCGGTACCCGCTTCCCACTTCCCGCGTGCAGCTGCAGTTCGCGTTTGAAGTTTTGACTTTTGACTCCACCATCAGTAAGATCTCGACGGGGACTACCATATTCCCCACTTTCCGACGTCCCGTTCACCCGCAACTAGCGCTTGATGTTTTGACTTCACCATCAGGAAGGTATTATCGGGGGTTACCGTTCACTCGCAATTCGCATTTTGGTGGATTTCGCTAAAAACCCGGCACAAAATAGTACTCAATTTTTCATAGCTCGAGCTTCTATTGGCTACACGAGAAAGAGACCCCCGATTCGAGAAACTTTTGGGCGCCCAAAGTCGACTACTCCTCGAAGCGCGCCGTGCAAAGGGCGGCTCATTTTGCCCGTACGCAAAAAACAAAATTCCGCAGAAGTTGTGCGCGTTGACAAGTACTTTCCAACGACACCTATTTCAAAACAATCGGAACAACTGTAGAAGAAAATAGAAAAAAAAATAACACGCTCGGGGATGGCGCCCAGATGTCGCCGAACCCACATCTTGTAGCCCCGTCAAAAAGTAGTTAACTACACGGCCCCAATAGGTACATGTACACTCTTGGTGATTTTTCAAGCATTCTCCTACGGGCTCGCATTTACTGCAAACCAGTCAGCCAAAGTGAAATTAAAAACTACCTTTTTACAAATAAATTAGCAAAAATGCGCTAAAATTAGAGTGATCATTTCCCCTGGTGGTGTTGTAAAGGTAGTTTGCTTGGTGTACAAGTAGACTTTTTCAAATATATTTTTGTTTATAAGCAATTTATGAAGTTGAGTACTATAAACGAGTAGGAGGGATCCTATAATAATATGTGTTGATTTATTGAGGAGCGAAAAGCACTACGTACGTCCCTGACGTATTCAATGCGGCGTGAATGAGTTGGTGCAAGCCAGGTGAGTTCTCTATTCGCGTAGTAGATGTTGACTTAGCGGTTTTGATTATGCGACTTTATATTTCGAAAAGGAGTAGAAAAGTACCAACTCGACTGGTAACCGAGCGAAGGTTAGACGATGAGAAGTTGTGTAGGAGTTTTTTTATTGGTTGAATTTTTGCGGAACAACGAAAACGAGGAAGAGTGGTTAGAGCGCTTGTGTTGGCGGATGAATCAAGTTGTTTGTGCAAGAGCGCGCGTGGTAAAAAGAAAAGTAATGTTTTAGAATAGCGTTTTGCGTTCTAAAGAACGCACGTCAGAAAAATAAAGTTTGAAAAATCGGTGTTTGCGCTTGGACCAAGGTTATCCAAAAGCGCGCGTCAGAAAAATAGTTTTAAAACTGCAGGTTGAGGCAATGTTTTAGACAAAAACTTCCAACATATATCAAACATCAAACAAATGTCCGAAATAAATAAGAAATTCCTAATAACTCAAGACACCCAAACCCAGCACCGGGCTAGGTGGATGTTAGATTGTCGCCATGCGAGAGAAACCTTCAGAGGTAGAGGACAATCTGTAGCTTGGCGCGTTTTTGTACAAGGCTATCAAGGAAGAACTTTAGGTTACTGGTGGGCATACTTTCTGGGCACTGTAAACTAAACAAGCACATGCACTGCATAGGTTTGGTGGAATCACCATCTTGTAAAGGATGTTACACAGACGACGAGACGGCACACCACATACTTTGTGAATGTCCCGCTCTAGTCGAACTGAGACGATCCATGTTAGGGGAATCCTGGCCGGACATGGCTGCGATTAGAGCCGCATAAGGTACATATCTCACGTGTGGGATGGCTTGAGTGACGTTGAGGGGTCGGACGACCTAGTCAGGGAGGTAGTACAAAGGGCCCGAATTTGAGGCCTAGGTACGCGTGGACTCTGTCCACCCTCCTATCGTAATCCAGAAATCCATCTATAAATAAAAAATTCGAATTATACGCACATGGAATGTTTACCTTTTTGATTATAAAATTCATACCTATATATTCAAACGTGTTTACTATGCTTATTGTTAATGCTATTATTGATACCTAGTATAATTGAAGTGGAAGATACATAAAATTAAATTTAAAAACATTGTTTCAGTTGGCCGAATAGATTTTGATGACCTGAATTTTGAGCGTTCTAAATATAGCGCGTTTGGTGCATATTCCCAAAGTAAGTTAGCAAACATCTTGTTTGCCAAAGAGCTTGCTAGACAATTAGAAGGTAATATCTGTAATTTGATTAAAGACAGCTACATTGGAATTAATTGCAGAGAACGGCATTGATGGCGTGTCCACCTACAGTGTGCATCCTGGTGTTGTTTCCACAGAACTCGGACGGCACTTAAACAAAACATATTTTACAGGCTTATCAAAGGCAATACGACTGTTAATGGGTAGATTCTTTAAAACCGCCGAAGAGGGTGCGCAAACTATCGTCTACTGCGCACTCAGTGTTGAAGCTGGTAAAGAAACGGGTTTATATTATTATAATTGTGAAACGGTGAAACCTGCTGGTGCAGCGGAGAATATGGAGGACGCAAAGAAACTCTGGGAAGAAAGCATAAAGCTCGTAAAACTTGAAAATTACAATCCATTTACTTCATGTTGAGTGTTCCAAATAAAGTGTTTAAGGATGTCAAAGATCAGTGTAGTATGATCTTGATCTTAATTGCTTCGTTGAAACCGTCCATAAGAGTTTCGGAAATATTCGGTATTGTGAGAACATTGGTTGAAAATAGGAACTTTTTGAAAAATTCCATTTTTAGCGCATTTCCACAAAAATAAAAAAAAATGCGCTATTGTGGCCACTTTGTCCGTCCGTCCGTCCGTCCGTCCGGCCGCTAACTTTGCGACGCTACTAGTTTTTTATCTTAAGAGCTATTGTTCTACTTTTTTCGCTATTTGGTTCGTTATGGTGTCGAGTCTTGTACCAAGGAAGGAATTTTTCCTGTACCGCTTACAAAAAAAGTTATTGTAAAAAAAACAAAAAACCGTTTTTTTACATGTTCTATAATTTTACACTTTTGCCGTTTATTAACGATCCTAGAGATCGTTTATAATTTTGCATTGCTATCTGTCGCCTGCCGGTTGGTCTCTCCGTCTGTTCCTTTGTTTGTCTGTCCATCTATCTGTCCGTGTGAACGATAACTTTGTTTAGAAATGTTCGATCGCTTTTACATCTCCGTTAGTTATGAACTGAATTGCATGAAATTCAATATGGGCATAGATTTAGCCATATAATACGCAATGCCAAAAGTTGGATCGAATCGATTCAAAATTCACAGTGCCCTTTTCGCATCTCGACCATTTATAAACCGAATTGCAAACTTTTTTACTTATAAAAGTATTTTAATGAAATTTGATACATAGGCACTTGGAATAAAGGAAAATCAAACGCCAATTTCAAAATTTGGTTTTGCGCATGCGCAGTGCCAACTTTTTTATTTATGGAAGAATTTAAACGAAATTTGATACATAGGCACTTGGGATAAAGGAAAATCAAACGCCAATTTCAAAATTTGGTTTTGCGCATGCGCAGTGCCAACTTTTTTATTTATGGAAGAATTTAAACGAAATTTGATACATAGGCACTTGGGATAAAGGAAAATCAAACGCCAATTTCAAAATTTGGTTTTGCGCATGCGCAGTGCCAACTTTTTTATTTATGGAAGAATTTAAACGAAATTTGATACATAGGCACTTGGGATAAAGGAAAATCAAACGCCAATTTCAAAATTTGGTTTTGCGCATGCGCAGTGCCAACTTTTTTATTTATGGAAGAATTTAAACGAAATTTGATACATAGGCACTTGGGATAAAGGAAAATCAAACGCCAATTTCAAAATTTGGTTTTGCGCATGCGCAGTGCCAACTTTTTTATTTATGGAAGAATTTAAACGAAATTTGATACATAGGCACTTGGGATAAAGGAAAATCAAACGCCAATTTCAAAATTTGGTTTTGCGCATGCGCAGTGCCAACTTTTTTATTTATGGAAGAATTTAAATGAAATGTGATACATAGGCACTTGGAATAAAGGAAAATCTAGCGCCAGTTTCAAAATTTTATTTTGCGCATGCGCCGTGCCAACTTTTTTATCTATGGAACTATTTAAGTGAAATTTGATACTTAGGCGCTTGGAACAAAGGAAAATCTTAGTTTATTAGTTAGTTATAGTAAATTAGTTTTAAAATTTAGGTTTGCGCATTCGCAGTTCCAACTTTCTTATTTAGAAAAGCATTGAAATGAAATTCTTCTCATAAACTGAAATTGAAGTAGCACGTCAACAATGGATTGCCCATGTGCAACGCTATCTTTCATATTTGTGGCCGGATTTTTACGGTTTTAACAGAAGTTGCATCTTACAAATGGGAAATGAATGCAAGTGGAAATGCGCTTTATGTAAATCGTTTACGATTACTTTTTAACTTGTTTTTCTTTTTTGCGCCGTTTGGATATCGGTATCAACAGACGAATTTAGAGGGTTAATTAGTAGGCCAAACACTACAGAAAAACATCATTAGATGCTTTTTACCTTTAAAAGCTTGACGGGGTGGATTTCTAAATCACTTTTGCGCGCGCGCGGGAAGCGGGAACTATACTATAGCTAAATTACCCCAAATGATATCTTTGTTTATAAATTACAAGACTAATCATTAATTGTTTACTATTTCCAAATATGCGAGAGGGGTTATACAAGTGAGATATTTCACCATTTTTGAAGTCTCTAATTTGTAAGTCGGGTTCGACCAAATTGTATCCATAGGTAAGTTTCCCTGGATCGGTGAATGCATTCGGGTTCGAATGCCTAAGTTAAGTAGGTCTACTTCGTGACAAAATGGTGACCCCGACTGGCGGACGACCAATTCCATCACGACGCAGTACATATGATTTTACCTGAAAACTATAAAACGTTAGCTACAAAAAAAAGGCAGCCAGTGAGGCGACTGAAACCTCATCAATTGCATCGATCAATCTATTCCACGGCTATTATTTTGTCTACATGTATCAGCTCACCGGGTAATTGTCACATGTACCTAATACCACTAGTGCTTGAATTATTTCCGGAAATTTGTTCGAGCTCACGAATATTTTGAAAATTAACCCGAGCCGAAGTGTGGTATTCGGTAAGAAAATTTCACACCGTATTGAACCTCAACGACTTATTTCAAGATTTGTTCTCTTTTTGAAAGTAGATCAAGATAGCCTTTGGATGGCATTTTATAGATTTGAATTGAAATTGCCGTTGACAGTAAGTTTATTGTGAGCGTGAATAGATTCGGTCAAGAAAATAAGGAAGCTATTCGTAGCGAAATTCAGCACCTAACGCTCCAGAATACTAAGGAATCTACTAAGTCAAGTGTTTGGAAGCAGTTTACTGATTTTTGCTCTGAAAAAAGTTATGTTTTTTGATAAGGCAAACATATCTGTGGAGGAATTGGCAATGATTATGGAAGATTATGGATTTAATATCTACCCAATTGTGTTTATTTCTGCTAAAATACTTTTTTATAACGCGGGTAAGTGACGTTTTATGTCAAAACGTTCTCTTATGACGTCAAAAAATTTCCACTATAATTCGCTCTAGGTTACCCCTGCAGGTAAAAATTTCCGATAAATACCTCGGTTGCCATGATAACGTGAGACGAAATCTGCATTTCATTGGTCGAAAATGGTTGATGTGAAATTTTCAAACTAATTAATATTAACGAGACCTGAAATTTCCACGGCCTTCTCTCAATCAAAATTTGGTTGCTCATCCCTTATTATATGTAAATATGAGATTTATAGCCAAAAGGGCATTTCCCACTTTCCGAACGGATAGTTTTGACCTCGGTTTCGACTGTACCTTGTTTACAAGAATCATGCGACACGCATATACAATACATACACTTTTTGGACTCCTGAGACCTTCAAACGTAAAGATCCGATGAAATCTCAAAATCGAAATTTGGAGTGATTTCCATAACCTCCCAATTTTTCGTTGTCAAATTATCACAAAAAGTTCAGAAATGTTGACGCAACGATAATACTATTTATTTCTTACATATTGTTTAATATAACTAGGTACAAGTAAAAGATAAAAATTAAAATTGAATCAATTAACAATAGATAACGCCTTTAACAAATGGGAGGTAGAAGTGGGTAGGTAGTATACCTAATTAAATTTTAGCGTCACCTACCACTGTTCACTTTGCCAGAAAGGGCTTATAATCTTCTTCTAGGCCTACTGATTTGAAACTGACATCCCATAGTTTCTTCGCAGCTTCCATATCTTTAGCATTGGCACATGGCTCTGCCACAGCACATTCCGCATAATACAACCCCGTCTCCTTACCAGCCGACTCGTCCACAGAGCAGTAAATCGACGTTTGGGCGCCTTGCTCGACGTTTTTCATAAATACACGGAACGGCGACAGCATTAACGTGAAACCTCTGAAATAGGTGTCATCCAAGTGCCTTCCAAGTTCGGTCACAATTACACCAGGATGAAGACTATAAACAGTTACGTTTTCTATATGAGACTCTGAAATTAGATAGAATTAGAAATAACTGTTAGCAGTGTCAAGCTTAGTACTATACCATCCAATTTCCTGGCTAGCTCTTTTGTAAACAGCACGTTAGCTAATTTACTTTGCCTGTATGCATTCAATGGACTGTATTCGCGTACGTCGAAATTTAAATCTTCAAAGTTAATAGATCCCTCTAAAACAATGATATTTTATTATTAACGAGCTCCTAGAGAATTTATATTTTGCGGTGTGTCCGTCCGTCCGTTAGCACGATAACTCATAAACGAATAGATCGATTACGATGAAATTTTGCAGGTGGATTCTTTATTAAATTTGTAGATCGGAGTTCGTGAATTGGCAATGTAAGCCAAAAAATACAGTAGGCCCTTTTGACATCTCCGTTAGTTATATGAACCGAATTGCATGAAATTCAATATGCGCATAGCTTTAGCCATATAAAACACAATTCCAAAAGTTGAGCCTAATCGATCAGCATTCACAGTGCCCAGACCGAATTGCAAACTTTCTTATTTATGAAGGTATTTAAATGAAATTTGATACATAAATAAATAAATTGAAGATTTGTGATAAACGTTGATAACTATGTAGGCGTTTTATAGGTACTTTAAAAAGGACTTAAAGTACTTCAAGATTTTTATTTGTGATCTGCATGCCAAATTAGATTGCTAACTAGTAGGCGGGGGACACTTTGTAACCCGAAGGCCCAATCTTCAAATGAGCATAACTTTTGTTTGAAAAATTATTTTAAAAAACACAACAAATTTCGTGGACTTCTCTTCATTTTCGTTGTCCGGCCAAGAATTGCAGTGGAACTTTTTTTTTCGAATTTATAAAAACTATTTCCAGATTCGTGATTTTCATGTTCAAAACCCCCCAGATACCAAATTTGGTGGTAACAAACACAAGAAATTGAAAAACTAACCCTGTCTATACATGATTGGTATTATCACAGACAAGTACCTGTTGTCTGTGGTATTATACACGCAACGCAACGGTTCGCTCTCGCTTTCTTCAAAATATCCGCAGCGAGAAAGACTGCGGTCAAAGATCGTGAACGTACACTTGGGCGATTCCCATTTATAAATAAAAAGTTACAATATTTTGCCACAGCTTGAGCAAAGCGTGACCTGAACTATAGTTTGAATCGGCCTTTATCCCAGTAATTAGTCAATTATAATATATACAAATAATTAATAGCTACATGGCTCAAAATAAACTTATTTACTCGTATACCGCAATTTATAAAACAAATTAGCAATTAGGTAATTTAAATAAGCAATTAATTTCGCACTACAGATTCGAAACTAACTACCGTGAATCATGCAAAATAGCATACAATCTATTGTTCTAAGTATCTTTCTGCTCTTTACTAACAAACAAGGGACTTAGAAGGCCGATTCATACTATATAGTAGGCGAGCTGGTACACATTTTTGGGTAGGTATTTGAGGCACGCTGAAAACTTGTCCAACACTTCTCCAATAATACCCAAACACAGAAACGCAGACCTGGCTGAGGAATAGCAGGGCATTTGCCAGGCGACTTCAAAGTTTGAAAAAAATAAAGTAGCTCAGGCGACTATCCGAATAAGAAATAGTGGATGATCTACAGATTATTAGTGTCGTCTGAATTACTGAATAAAGGTTAAAGACAGGGTATTCAAAAAATGCAAAAGGAAATAAAATAATCAAAGGTGGAACGTGAAAGATAAATGGAAATATGCAATGAGAAAACTAGAAAAGGCCAGGAAATAATGATAAGACAGAAACGAATAAATGAGGTTATGCGAATGTTTTGTAAGGTTATATTACTATAAACATGGATTACCAATTATATGGTAATATTGTAAAAATAACTAATCAATTTGGGGATATATTGCGCTATGTGTGGCGACACTGTTAGAAAGAAACAAAACTAGGGTAGAACTTTTCTCTTTATCCTTTCAAGGTCAAAATTACGCCGAAACCGTCTATTGTATCATGTTGAAATTTTCATCGTTTCTTATTCCGAAATAAAGACAATTCTCCTGAAACTTTCCTCACAAGTGATCAAAGTACACTAGGTTATTGACTAGATGTTCATGTATTTATTTTGCACACTTGATAGTTGTTACAGTGTTTTAGCGCATGTCGGCATATGTCTGAAATTGATTCACAAATCAATGACGCAGAGCCACAGACTACTGATTTCAAGTGTACATTATTTTTTTCTAACTTTGAAGGCGCCTAGTAAAGTGTTAGCCCCGCTACTCCTCAGCCATGTCTGAAATTCTGTGTTTGGGTATTATTGGAGAAGTATGAATTGGACAAGTTTTCAGCGTGCCTTAAATACCTACCTAAAAATGTCTACCAGCTCTCGAACTAATAGTTCAGTTTCGCTCACGATGCTGCGTGTATTTTGCACGAACCGATAGCAAACCATTGCGTTAAGCGTGAATAAGTCAATAAGTACCTAGGTACCAAAATCAGCAGGCAGCGTTAGTTTTTCCATTTTTGTGTTATTACAAGCATTTGCACAATAGATGAACAATTAATCGAATTAATTCGAAATTATGGAGGAGTCCTTTATATGGAGTGAAAAATTCTCCTTCGATTTTACGCTTTTTCAAAATGTCGTGAAATCAATATCTTCCTGCGTTTCTCATTGTCTTGCTCTTCCTATCTAAACATACGGCAGTTGAAAATTTGTCCATCTTATAACAGCGATGTGCCGACGTTTTTGATGACAGTGACTAAAATGCGCGCCAACTAAGTGTAAAATCTGAATACTACCCCAAAACTGTTGACTGTGGGCGGATTCTGAACCGCATAATGGGAATCGGCCTTACGTAGTTTTACATTGAAAAAAATCGCAAAATCAATCAGCGACGAACAAGTTACTAGTTTTTTTTAAGTACATAAGTGTCTGTCATAGAGTTTTTGATTGATGTTATGGTCAAGAGTATTTTTTTCGTTACTCAAGATCGTAAAACAGGGAATCCATGAGTACGAACCAATTTTTTGTAGCTCATCAAACACACCGAATAATCTGAACAAACGGTGGTCAAATTGTTACGAAAATTGAGAAGGGTTGAAACGAAAGACAGACTCGTGGTTTCCCAAGGTTTTTACCACAGAATCCGGGCTCAGTTATCTACCAACTGCCTTCAACTGCAGCTATTAATGGCCGGTTGCACCGACAAATTTAAAAGGAGCTTAGCTTAATATCCATGGCAACGATTGTTGAGACAATATGTTACATTACGTGTTACATTACATGTCCGGTTCGGATAATGTAGACGCATCTTAAGGATGGAGTTCGGAAATTCGTTGCCCGGCGGCTGCCTTGATGATACCTATTATTTGTTCCTAATAGGTTTGTGTCACATTCACATGTGTTTATGAGTTTATGGACTAACTACAATTTGTGTTGTTACTTATCTTTATATATAAAAATGAACCCTTGCTATTCTTCTGGTCACGCAATAGCTTTAGAACGACTTTACCGATTGTATTCATCTTTTTTTTAAGTACTTGGTAGAATGTTCTTACGGAAAAAAAAACTAAGAAAATTGCCCAGAAAATCGGAGAATTGCAGAAAACTTGACGATCGCGCGTTTGACAATTGACAATTCGCGCGCAGCAAATGTTAACGGTTGCATCGGTCGGCATCTATCTATCCATGAAAAAAATAAATATTTCATTTCTTAAGAGCAAGTCCATTCGATTGGAACGTTCATCCAGTTTTCAGTTGCTTCAATGAATTTTTTGAGAAGTGTTTGTTCAAAAACTAAATAAAGATCGCAGTTAGTTCAACGCAATCACCCCATTTAAAATAAGATCCCTGGGCCCTGGCGACTTGATGACATTCAAATCGGTTGATTCCGTTACTAACGAAGATGATGTTGTCAACTATCCAAAGGGATTTTTAAAGAATTGCGCGGATTCCACTATACAATTCCGCAATTAAAAGTTGGATCGGTAACGGTAATCATATACCTATGTTGCGGAAAATGAATCAACCGCGTCTTAGTAGTGGTACCCGGCATGCGGGGAAGAAATTAATGAACTTCATCGAAACCATAATTTCGAATAAGAAGTACAAAAGTGAAGACCTTTTGATTCGACGCATCGGTATGATTCCGAACAAGCCATTCGACTTGAAACGTTTACAATTTCCATTGCGACTTGCATTTGGTTATGTCGATAATTAAATAGTAAGGGCAGTCGAAGTGTTTGTGAGATCAATTTGGAACATCCATGTTTTACACATGACCAACTGTATGTCGCTTGATCCCGTGTCGGAAAACTTTCAATTTTATTAACGCGCCAGAAAACAAAACTATACCTCTCGCCAGGAAAGATTGCCGGTCACAGAAGACCTGACCCCGTCTACAATCTGTGTTTTTCTAAAGATGTGAGCGACCTCCGGGATAGGATCATGCCAGTGTTGAACGAAAAGTCTTTTCGTTCAATATTGGCACGATCCTATTCCGGAAGTCGCTCGCATCGTAAAAAAACATAGATTTTAAATTGACACAAGGTGTGCTGTGACCGGCAATCTTTCTTGGCGAGAGTTATAACAATGTTGTGTATCAAAAAGCATTACAATACGCACTATGTTTTTGAAATCAATTTTTTGATTATTTATTCCAAATCGAATTAATATCTAAGACAGAACGTCTGTCAGGTCAACTAGTATGAAATAAAATTGTTCAAAAGTTATTGTGAAAATAAAGCAATTAGATTTTGAAGTCATTTTCAGTGACGAATGGTGGGGGCATTTCAGCATACTGTATTTCCCGCATATAATCATGACTAAGTAGGAAATAAAAAACTTACTGGCTTGTGCTGCAGAAGACACGTTTACAATTCGAGATGGAGCACTTTTAATAATTCGCGGTAAAAGCAGTAACGTAAATAAAAAGTGCCCGAAATGATTGGTTCCTATTTGCATTTCAAATCCATCCTTGGTTTTTGTTTTTGGACACATCATAACTCCAGCATTATTAACCAAAATGTTAATTTTATCTTCACATTCCAACAATTTGTTCGCACAGTCCCTAACCGAATCAAGACTGGATAAATCTAAATTGACTATTTCAATTTGTCCCAGTTGTTGTAAATCTTCGCACGATTTTTTTATATCCTCTGCAGCTTGGCGGGCTTTCTCGGCGTTTCTGCATGCCATAATAACTCGTGCACCTTTAAAGATTTTAAGTAGGGACCGCTTTAAATAACAAATTAAATCATTACCTCGCTTATAAAAATCCTGTACCGTGAATTTCCCAATTCCAGTATTTGAGCCTGTTACGATAACAGTTTTTCCATCCAGCCGAGCGGTTGACACGCATTTTGTATGACTCAGTCCCATAACTTGTACCTGGTTCTAGTTACCTACCTACGCGATAAGTTTCTATACAGGGATAGATTTAAATTAAACAATAAGAGCACAAATGACAACACAATATTTAATGTTCACAAAATGATTAGTAGTAATTTTGCACTTGAAACTTTGTGCATGCGCATTGTGAGGTTCGTGCAGGAAATTAAAAACTGTAATGACCCACTTCCGGGGTTCTATCTATGTATCTGTCGTAGTCTTTTAGTGAAATCCGTCATTTCACGAAACGCCTAGTCATTTATATGAAACTGTGGCACAGTGTACTTTCCAGGGCCAAGCGATTGGATTCCGTTCCCATTGGAAATCGATAAATGGTATCCTTATCGATCTAGAAGGGGAAGGGAAATTACCCCACACGTACAAATTTTCAGCGTTTCACTAAATGACTAGGCCTCGGACTAGGCGTTTCGTGAAATGACGGATTTCACTAAAAGACTACGACATCTATCTAACCACTGAATGAAAGTGCTTATTCAATGATCTAACTGTAAACTTATAGTAAAATTTACCGTAGGTTAGACCACACACATCTCACCATACCAAAACGAAATTAAATTATATCCCAAATAACAAGACATACTGATATTGCCATTGTCTACTGCCATTGTTTAAATTAAAGTATGTAAACAATGCTACTGCTCACCTGTGCTGCAGGACCGGTGTTAGTTCGAGGTACGGGGCCGCGTCTCCGGCGGTGTCACAACCGGGAAGCAGCCCGGTAGATTCCCGGAAGGGCCGCTCAGCCGAAACGTGTGTATCACAAAAGCCACACGCTGTCTGTGTTGTGAGTTTTAATTTAAGTTTGAATAAAAACATTTATTTTTTCCCTTATATTGGTAGGTAGGTCTGATCCAATGAATAAAGGTCTGGTCATAGTGTATGAAGGAGTGGGCCGGTTTACCAGAATCGCCCGGGCGGTTTGGTAGGTCCAGTCCGGCCCTGCTGTGGTGTAGTTGTAATTACGCGTCTGGTGGTTTTAAAATTGAGAAAAGATGGGAAAAAAAGAAAAAATAAAGAAAAATTTAAGAATACCTATAAAAATGAAAATAAATTGAATTGAATTGAATTTCTTTATTTCCAAAACATTACATTTAGGTCGACAAAGTCAGCAGACTTATCTGTCGGTGCCAGCTATTAGTTATGATTTTATTTTTACATACATCGACATCCAGTTAACTTTTTATAACGCCTATTTTTTTATAGGTACCTGTGCAATCTTGTAAATTATGAATAAATATAATATGCGTCATTGTTAAACTAATTTTCTACCGTCTGTAATAGTTTTTTCACTTCCTTTTTAAACACTGTAACTCCACTATTTTCTAAATATTCGGGTAATTCGTTGAATAGTTTTGGAACATGCACTTCATAGTTTTTTTGCCGTATTTATTAAAGCAACGTGGGACAATGTATTTGGTTTTTCGCGTCTGATGTGAGTGACCAACTGTTTGTTTATAATCGTTGTCCATAAGGTATCTATTTAAGTAGGTAATAAAAATTAAAATATTCACTTGGAGTTAAAGTATCACATTGTATTAGTAAATTATTTTATTCGTGTAAGGTTTTTTATTTATCAACTTTAATATTTTAATTTGCAGGTTTTCTAGTTTTCTCAGATGCACCTTTTCAGCATTTCCCCATATTTGCACACCATATCTAATAATAGATTCAGCCAAAACCTTGTAGACCATAATCACTGTTTTTGAATCGACAAATCTACTCAACAGATAAAAGGATCCTACCATCTTCTTCATCCGGTTAAAAATGTATGTTATATGACTATCATATTTTAGTCTGTTGTCAATGCATACACCTAAATACATGGTATTGTTAACGTTTTGTATTATTTCACAATCACAATATATGGACTGTGAGTACTGTGACAAACAAGTACAGCGATGTATTTTTATTTCTGTTGGAGTAGGTTTAGCCATATGTGATGTGGAAAATATCATCGAGTGCGTTTTTTGGTGATTGATAAATAGGTTCCTGCCATGTGCCCATTTTACTACCATATTTAATTCGCTTTGTATAGTTTGTTTGCAGGTAAGTAAATCGTTATGTGAGTATAGTATTACTGCATCATCAGCATACATGAACAATTTGGCCCGTTGGGTTGTGAGAAAGATATCATTAACATAAATTAGGAAGAGTAGTGGTCCTAAATTACTGCCTTGAGGCACACCAATTTCAGAGTACGTTTTCCTACTGTACTCGCTTCCAACCTTGACCATATAATACCTGTTTTTTAGGTAGCTTTCAAACCAAATTAGCGCTTTATGCTTTATTCCAATATTACTCAGGCAATTTAATAATATATCAGGATCAACTGTGTCAAAAGCCTTTGACATATCGATGAATACCGCTATGGTATAATTATTTTTGTCCATTTGAGTGTTAATATAATCGTTGACCTTGACTAATAGTGATTCGGTTCCTTTTCCCTTTTGAAATCCGTATTGGTTAGTATGAATAATTTAGTTGTCGGCCATGTACTGTTTCAAATGTTCTGATACATAAATCTCTAGGATTTTTTCGATTGAAGACAGTATACTTATTGGTCTATAATTGCCACATACCGTTGGGTCCCCTTTTTTATATATTGGTCTTGTTACTGAAATTTTTAATATATCTGGAACTACACTTTGCGCGATGGATAAGTTAATTATTTCTGATATAATTTTTTGAAATATTTCCGGATTATTCTTGAGATCCACGGTTCTTATATTGTCGTGACCAGGTGATTTCTTAATATGAAGCCTATCTTTGACTTTCCTTGCATTTTGGTATATGGAAGGTAAAGTTCGAGTCTATTTGCTGTGGTATGATTACAGCTCGTGTCATACATGTACAGGTGTTCATCAAGTCTTTGATTTGATCACTGAAGGTTTTAGCAAACTGATTCGCTATGTTTACTGCACTTGTGTGTACTCCTAGGTGCTTTAAAATCTGTTCGTACACGTTTTTTGTTTTTCTCTTTGTTAGGATGTAATTAATCTCCGACCATACATTTGCTTTGTTCTTGCTTATTCTGTCTCGAAAGTATTTGTTTTTGGCGTCTCTAATTTCGTTGTTCAGTCTATCCCTAAAATGGCAGTAGTTCTCTTTGTGACTCGGTTTAGTGGGATTTGATTTCATTTCTTATATAATTTATCCCTTTCTTTTATTTTATAGAAGAGGGTAAATAATAATAATAATAAGAATAAATCCCATTTCACCTAGAGGTACCTACTCTCAAGCTATTATCAAACCATTCAAGGATATATTGTCCCCTTCCTTAGGTTATAAATATTGGTTTCCCCTTATCTCATCGATTAGTTATTAATATGCCTGACAGTATCAAATCAATAGCAGAAAATAATTATGGCTAAAGAAAACGTAGGTAACATCATTCCTTGCATTTAGAGTTTTAAGGTACCTATATGAAATGACTTAATACAATATTACCTAATAGGTTTCATACAGAGTGCTCCACGACCGACGAATGCCAGTTATCTACACTTTGTGCGTCCGCTCGTTCGTTGAGACGCTACTAGTCTTTATCTTAAGAGCTATTGTTTTTTCGCTATTTGGTTCGTTATGGTGTCGAGGCTTGCACCAAGGAAGGAATTTTTTCTGCGTTTATTGCTAAACAAGTTATTGTAAAAAAACCAAAAAACCGTTTTTTACATGTTCCATAATTTTACACTTTTGCCGTTTATTAACGATACTAGAGATCATTTATAATTTTGTATTGCTGTCTCTCGCCTGTCTGTTGGTCTGTCCGTCTGTTCCTTTGTCTGTCTGTCCCTCTATCTGTCCGTGTGAACGATAATTTTGTTTAGAAATGTCTGATCGCTTTTAGATCTCCGTTAGTTATGAACTGAATTGCATGAAATTCAATATGGGCATAGCTTTAGCCATATAATACCCAAATTCCAAAAGTTGAGTCGAATCGATTCAACATTCACAGTACCGTATTCGCATCTCGACCATTTATAAACCGAATTGCAAACTTTTTTATTTATAAAAGTATTTGAATGAAATTTGACTTTTATTTATGGAATCATTTAAACGAAATTTGGTACATAGGCACTTGGAATAAAGGAAAATCTAACGCCAGTTTCAAAATTTGATTTTGCGCATGCGCAGCGTCAACTTTTTTATTTATGGAAGCATTTAAATGAATGATACATAGGCGCTTAGAACAAAGGAAAATCTAACCTTAGTGTCAAAATTTAGATTTGCGCATGCGCAGTTCCAACTTTCTTATTTAGAAAAGCATTGAAATGAAATTCTTCTTATAAACAGAAATTAAAGTAGCACGTCAAAAATGGCTTGCACATGTGCAACGCTATCTTTCATATTTGTGGCCAGATTTTTACGATATTAACAGAAGTTGCATCTTACAAATGAATACAAGTGGAAATGCGCTTTTTGTAAATCGTTTAGGATTACTTTTTAACTTGTTTATTTTTCTGGAAATGCGCTAAAAATGTATTTTTTAGTTTGTCGATTTCTACGGTTTTGAAAAACGGAAAATAAAAATAAAATAAAATACTAATAGTAGGTATGAACAGATGCAGAGTACTTTTTTATCTAAAAAAACGTATTTAGCCTTTTGCTCTAAAATAATTAGGGGAGCTAGTAATTGACTATAAAGAAATTACCATTGAAATCCCTATGCTACGTGTAGGCAGTGAGTGAGTGAAAAGGAAAACTTATTTTTCGCCCTCAACTCACTTCTGGCTTTAGAAAAGATAGCCATTGTGCCTTGTTGGTCAGGACAAGGGGGATTTTTAAAGCTACACAAATTCCAATTGTCAAGGAAATAAAATCGGTAGGTGTAATGTAATTATTCATATTCAGTTTTCCTGAACTTTGCAGGAAGCCACGTTTCGCTTTTTTATTCAACATAGCAATATGCGAACACTTAAAAATAGCAACAATACTGAATTAAATCGGCGGGGGTAAACATAAACTTCAATTTATAACATCTGTACAAAAAAGTGTTATAGGTCATATTAATCAACATGTATTCCTATATATTTGGTAATACATAAACACATCACCATCTTAATGATTTGTTATATAAATGGTACCAAGTAAATTAACGAGAGAAAGAAGGATAGCGCGTGTGAATATAGAGAAGGATAATGTTTGAAAGACGTTGGAAGTTGTTGAATAGGCAATGAATACATGCTGCTTCGGCAGAACAACTTTAGTATTGGTGCGGTTTACTCGTGTCTACTACAGAAAGTTAGGTGGTCTTCGTACTAATTCGAAGGGTATGTATCTAATATTTCTATTTTTAAACCTACGATTTTCCGTGTTTACAATTAAGGTGTTGCGAAGGTGTCCTGCTTTGACCATGCCATTTAGATATTTCATTCGTATGTTCAGTGGGGGCGTAAATGAATATTGTTGCGAAGTGCGAATAATGTGAGCTGTGACTGCTGTGAGGGTACATATAGGTATCTACCTATTTATTGAATTGACTATTGGCTTGAGGGATAATAAACTCCAGCACCATCGGCACTGGTTAACTATTTCGTTCGTTTCATTTTCACTGACCTAATTTCGGTTTGTGAGATATTTAATATTATCATTTGTCAACAAAAAAACCACGCGTTGCACCTGGGAAGGATGCAAATCCTAAAGTGGAAGATAATGGCACTATTTAAAAACAATAGACCCATCTGTCCCTTTTAAAGTGTAATCTTTTTGGTCGGAATGGGGTGGGGTAAAATAATACGAGACAACTTGCTCGCGTTTACCACTCGCTCCACCCCTTTTGCCATTTTAAATTGTTCGCAAAATTTAAAATTTTAGACAATTGGTGTATTTCTACCAGATGTTTTAATATCATCCTTGAAAACAAAAAATCATAAACCAAACATGCAAAAAAGCAGATGCTTACTTATTCACGCATCCATTCACCATTCCAACTGATTTATGAAATTATATTCACGAGTATATTCATATGTAATAAAAATCGAAAGAATTATTATCGGCATACCTACACGCACATTTTTGTAATTTTTAAAATTGTATACAAAAATTTAAAAAAAACATTAATAACGTTATTTTTATATTTTATTGATTGATTATTACCTCGATTATTACGGAAGAAAGTTCCAAGGGGAAGATGATTAAAATAAAACTGAGGGTAAACCTACCAATTTTTTATTTATTTTTTTAATTTTTATTTTGCCTTTATTTTTGAGTGGGCGGGGTTTCAGCCAAGGCTGCTCTACCATCCCAACCCACTATACATCCATATATATATATCCATGCCCGAACCCGGATTCGAACCAGGGGCACTTAGCACCGCAGTCCAGCTTTAATTTAACTGCCAGTGTTCCGAATGCGTCTAATAAATTTATTATAGATCATAATGACTTCTGTGAAGTCGGTTTAGGATTCGAAATCGTTTTAGTTTTGGATTCCTTTTTAGCGCATTTTTGCAAATTATTTGTAAAAATGTGGCTTTCACTGTCACTTTGACCGGCCATCTGGCTGGCTGACTGGCAGCAAGTAAGGGCCCATAGAACAATGACTAGAAAGAGACTAGGAGTGTACGTGTACCTACCGGGGCCGTGCAATTAACAATTTTAGGGGCGACATCTGGGCGCCATCCTCGAGCTTGGTTTATTAACGTGATGATTTTTCAGTTTTTTCTTTTTTTGCTAGTTTTGATCGGATTGTTTTCAAACTGGTGTCGATGGAAAGATCTCGTAAACGCGCACAACTCTTGCGTGACGGAATTTTATTTTTTTACTAATAGCGTTGATTGATTGTATATTTATCAATCAACGCTAGTAGTAAAAAAACAAAATTACGTATCCGTATCTGTATAGGTATTATCAAACAACGCTACTAGCCTATGATGACATGATTATTAACCTTTTTTTCACTTGTAACCTAGACTTTTTTGGTAGCTCTGGAAAATGGTTCACAATGAGCCCAATATTAACTAGTAATGTAGTCAATATTGAGAACTGTCACGCTGTCACTTTTAGAGATTACAACCCGAAATTTTTCTCAATAAAAGTTCTCTAAAATGAATTTGGCAATTTCCTTCATTTCCAGAGAAATTAGAACTCCCTGCTCTTCCACTCAACCCAAAATTGAAAGTTTAAATGATGACACCATTTAAACAAAAAACAAAAAAAAACAACGTAACTATACTACCTACTTACGGAAAGAAAAAGAAAGTAACTATACTACAGATGATCTTAAGAAAAGAAGAAGAGAAAAAAAAGAAAACACACATTTGAACTTCAGATAACAATTGCAACATCACCTGGCTACTGTGCTTGCTTTTGTTGTATGAACATCTTGCAGTTCCTCTTAAACTGTTTTAAAGAAATTGATTTGAGATTTAGAGGGAGTGGGTTATAACTCTTGTAGATGTTGTAACTAAAGCATCTTTGAAATAAAGCTGTTTGATGGAGTGGCGGACTTATTAAACCCCTAAATCTCAAATTTAAATTCGTCGGTTCTATAGGTTATTTTATCATGGAGGTACGCCGGTGTCTTATTTAGGATGATAGAATGGTAAAGCACAAGACTATGATGCAGTCGCCTATTTTTCATATTGAGCCAATTTAAATATTTCAATTTATACGTGATTCTATCATATTTCCTTATGCCGAAAATTAATCGCATACAACCATTCTGCAACTTTTGAATGCGCCGTTCATCATTAGTATCTAGACAAGTATTATAAAGTATATCACAGTAATTCAACTTAGAAAGGACTAGAGATTCACAAAGAAGAGTTTTTATGTTTGTATTTAAAGAGTGTCTAATAGAGTAAATCTTTTTAAGATTGCCGTAGGCTTTTTGGAGACAAATAGAAATATGGTTTTTAAAACGCAATTTATTATCAAGATTAAGACCTAAATTAGTTACAACATCTTTAAAAGTAATCGCTTCATTCCTAATATTAATATTGATTTGAGACATTAGCATTTCCCGCTGATTTGCGCCGCTGAACAATATTGCAATAGATTTGCTTGAATTTAAATGTAGAGAGTGAGATTGAAATGTGTTTTGCAAAGCATCTAGGTCTGCGTTTATGCGTTTACAAGCGTTACCTACATCTGCAGCTGGAAATGAATAGTAGATCTGCGTATCATCAGCATAAGAATGTAATGTGGTATATTGAAGACAATTTACTATGGTGCATGTGTAAATAAGAAACAATAATGGTCCAAGAATGGACCCTTGTGGTACTCCCCGGGTAACACTTTTAAAAGCCGATATTTTACCTCAGATTTTAACTGCTTGTTTCCTGTTGGAAAGATAACTGTCAATAAAGCTTGTTTCACAATTGACGCAAACGTAAACGCCAACGGAAACGCAAACGGTAACGTGAACGTGAACAAATTCGCAGTCTCACAATTAACGTTACGTTCCTGGAGTGTTAAATTGTCACGGAATATTTTGTTTATTAAAATGTGTTCTGTGGTAGTCACAGACTATTCTATTCAATTCAACAAACGGATAATCATGCAATACTTCGTACAAAAATAGTTAAGTTTGGTCTTTAAAGGTTATGTGGCTGGATCGCAAGCGCGCGCATGTTTAAAACGCCAACGGGAACGGGAAAGATAAAAGTTGACCAACTGTCGCGTTTGTTTCACGTTTTCCCGTTCCCGTTGCGTTATATGTGAATGGAAATAGTAAATATTCATGTTTTAATTAAATGCTCACGTTCACGTTCGCGTTAGCGTTCACGTTGGCGTCAATTGTGAGACAGGCTTTAAGGCTATGGCTCCCGGACTGAAACGTACGTAATGTAAAATAGCTAGGAAGCATGGCGTGATCTAACGTATCAAATGCTTTAGAGAGATCTAGCAAAACAAGAATAGTTGCTTTACCCTGGTCCAGTGCGGAAATTATATCATCTACAATTTTTAAAAGAGCAGTGCAACAACTGTGCATAGATCTGAATCCAGATTGGACATCCGGGATAAACGAAATTACTTTTTGAAAACATTTGAAAACATGTCATTGACAGAACACAATACGGCCTGCTTGACTTCCACGCGCTTATAAACAAAATATTCTGTGAAACGGTTCACTTTCTAACAATATAAGTAATCCGTTAATTTCTCGTTTAATTTAGAGGACCTCAAGTACTAGTAGTGAAAAAAATAGTATATCTACGGCGGTAGAGAAGTCTTAGTATTATTAGACTTCTCTACCGTGGTGCATAATGTACTAATTATTTTCCTAGGGACGAAATTAGCCATACCTTTGACCTTTTGCATGGCGCGCGTAGTCGACGTCGGGCGGTCAAAAGTTATCTTAACGACCTACGAATCGCGTTTCTCTTTGTTGTGTCGCCTATAGAAGCTCAGAAGTGCCCCACAAATTGAGTACTATTTTGCGGAGGGTTTTAAGCGAAATCCACCAAAATGGCGCATTTATATGACTTTGGAGACGTCAGAACAAAGGGAATGTGATAACCTCGCTCAAGATCTGACTAATGGTGGAGTGATAACTTCAAACTCGAATTGTGGGTAAACAGGACGTCGGAAGTGGCTACCGACAAAGGGAATGTGGTAGTCCCCGACATTGGGCAATAAAGCATTATTATTATTGTCGGTGTTTCTTGTGAGAACTCAGGTCTAGCCTGGTTAACTAATCGCACGGATTAAAATCAAGTAACGATTAGTGTCTGTGTCTGGTGAAGTTATGTAGGGTCCAACATACCTATTGATATTATTATTATTATTATTATGGTCGGTGTTTCTTGTGAGAACTCAGGTCTAGCCTGGTTAACTAATCGCACGGATTAAAATCAAGTAACGATTAGTGTCTGTGTCTGGTGAAGTTATGTAGGGTTCTAAAGAAAAAAAAAAAAAAAAATATTCACACACTCGCATTGGAAATCTACGGATAGTATGTAATTCATACTTACCAACATAGCTATTAATGGCCACAATAGTCAACGCTATCAGGAAAGAAGAAAACAAAACAAAAATATCATTATAATAATTCCTGTAATTTTATTAAATAGAGTTTATTGTGTAAGTGTTTCTTTGGCTTTGCGTTGGGGTTGAATACGAGTGGGTTGTGATAACGTGGTGTGTTTATGTGAAGAAGGAGTTTTGTGTTTTTTAATTGTATTTATGGTGTTTCTTTGTTCCTGAGGTCGTATTTGTGAGGTTGTTTGGGTTTTTGGTGGAGATATTGCAGTATTTTGTGAGCCTGTGGTGTTGTTAAGGTTTTTGCGCTTCGGTTGTATACGAGTGGGTTGTGACAATGTGGTGTG